AAATTATATTAAATATAATATATTGACACACGAAATATGACGGATTAAAAAAAAAAAACTATATTTATCATTTATAATTTAACGATATTTGCATGTTGTATTCAGTGTTTTATATAAATATAAATTTTAATGCAAAAGTCTAGTTTTCATATATTTAAAACTTAATCGTTAATTTATGCGCCGTGTGAATAATGTAGTTGAAATTGCTATTATATGTGTGAGTTTCGTTAATTTTAGATGGAAAGTCTATAATACTTGATTAATTCTATGTATTATTGTAAAATGATGAACGATACTTGGAATGTTTTGTTTAAAATTTTTTGAGAATGTATAATGACTGGGTAGTAAAAATGCAATTTTTACATTAAACAAAAACTTTATACGAAGTAAAGCGCGGCCAGCGCAACGCGTCTACGCGAATAAAGGAAGGGCGTGAAAGCACTAGTATTATTGTGTATTTTCTCATCAGCAAACCAATGACCCCGGCAGATGCCCTACTTATCGACCTTTCTCGGTGAACAGTGGACTTGCACGTTTCATCAGCTAGTTCGTCTCGAAATTAAAACAAATCGTGGTTAAGATGTTATGACTTTGTCAAATTGCTATAAGATGATGTTATTATTAATTAGTCCCTTCACTGTATTATAATTAATTAATTATATCATTATACATTTTAGAAATTAAATACTTTCGATAGGACGTATCATATTGTAATGTTTAATCTTTAAAAAGTAATTTATTAAGGACATAATATTCCTTTTTTTTTTTTTTTTTTATTTTTTTTTATTTTTTTTTTTTATGTATGATGACAAATTTAAAAAAAAAATCATTCGAAAATTGATTTGTTTAGGGATTTAGTAATAATTTTAATACGATTTTATTAACGTATCTTTTCATATTTACATCATTTTTTTTTTATTTTTTTTTACATTTATCACATATATTTTTAATGCGGAAAGACTTTTAATTAAGATTAATTGACACTTTTTTAAATTAAGTGAACCCTAATTAAAAAATACTACAATATTCCTAATTGTGTCAATATACTTTTTCTTTTTAGTATCAATGATTTGTTAACTTGTTAATTATCTGTGAATGAAAGTTACATTTTTACAAAGACAAAGTTTATTAAATAAATTATCTAAAATTTATATGTAGTATAAAAACGACTTAAATTTGTTTACACTTAATTGAAGGTTCGATCTATATTTATTTATAAGAAATTATTATACATAGTAGTGAAATATATTATATTCATTCCTAATGAATGATATTTTAAGAATTCTCACGTATCATAAAAGGGAAATGGATATAATTGAAACCACATTGTTAAAAATTTGCTCGGGAAAGTGTATGAATACTTTAACACTACATTAAAATGGCTTACATTATTTCAATTTTTTAACATTGCAGTAACAATAGTAACCTACAGTGATTTTAAATATTTAATTTTTCTATCCATCAACATTATATAAAATTTTACGATATTTTATCCATAATTATTATGGATAGCTAGACATAAATATAAAAATTCGAAAAAAATAACTATATATCACCAATGGTATTTACATTATGAACATTATTAATTTAGTTTATTAATAATTATTAAGTATATGTATAGATAAAGTTATGAGTACACTTGAAATCCATACTTTTCTACTATGATTCATTGTTTAAATTAATTAATTTAATATAATATAAACTAAAAATTGCATTATAGTTTTCTGTTTTTGTACTATAATTAATTATAATAATATATTTAAATGTATATTTTTGTGTAAGAATGGTATTGTTTTATATAATGTAAAATAATTTGCATATATATGTTATTTGATAACACTGACACGCACTTACGCGCGCACGCACTTAGACACATCCCACACGTGCGCGAGCGTGTGTGCACAGAAAAAGAGAAAGAGCTAGAGAGAACGAGAGAGAGAGAGAGAGAGAGAGAGAGAGAGTATTATGACAGAATTATAATACGACCCTTAAAATAGCTGGAATTGAATACTTGAAATTCGAATTTTCATATAAACTTTATTGTTTGTGATGAAACACCAACTGCTCCTATTTATAATTACGAAATCTCTTGAAAATTATTTTTGAAATAATGGTGCGCATGTATTTTTGTTTATATACATTCTCTTCGTAATTTAAATGCATGATGTTCCAACGCTCTTTTTGGACGGATATTTTTGGAATTTCGAAAAATCTCCCCTTTTGAGCAGCATCATCTCGTGGGTTTTAAAGTATTACTTTCTATTCAGTATGACTAACATAAATTCCAATATAAAGTTTATAAAGTATTTGAAAATTTTTTCTAGTTTATAGGAAAATTTTCAATAGATATTATCTGTAGAAAAGTGTAAAATCGTATTTATGAAACATTTAATGTAATCTCTAATATAAAAAAAATGTTGAGTAATATAAACATAATGTTTTTAATGTTTTCACTCATTGAATTTGCCATAATTATAAAACATTAATTGATATATGGAAATACATTTCATTCGAGATTGTACTTATTAATACTCTTAGCTATATATTGGTAATGAAGTATTTTTAATAATTCAATAATTCTTTAAAAAAAAACAACATCAGTTTTAATTCCCTGTTGTGCATGTGCACTGATTGTATACGATGAACGTTCAAGACAATCAGCCGTGTACCAGCCGTCGGCAAAACTACTTTCAATTCAGCACTAATATTAACTCACGTGTTTTCATGTGTGAAATACATTAAACGCTCATGTGTAGACATTAATATTGCGTGGGAGAGTCGCGCAACGGTAAAAATTGTGTAACGTCATTCGGGCATACGGCAAGTGTCAGTCGAAGTCGTTTCTTTTAATTTATTAACACCGCGAAGAGCCGTAGAATATGGGGAATTATGTGCGAAAGGTAAACTATTTTAATATTATTTATTTTCTTGAAATTGTTTATTTACTTACGGTTTTATGTACAGATTATTTTAAGCCAAACCAATGCCACCGAATAATGAAATTTACGTTTTGATATCTTTAAATAAACATACAGGTTATTATACGAATAGTAATAATGTGTAAACATTTAAAAGATTTCGATAATTAAGCTGTGCAAATAAGTGAACATTATTTTATATTATTTTATGATTTACAATATGAGCTTTGACAATTTAGCATATCAAATATTTATAAAACGATAACCTAAAAATATATTAATTGTTTGTATGTATTATGAATAAAAGCTTTTAAGTATGGGAATGCTTTTCCATTATTGTAAGTATTATTAAATATAATTCTAACGACAAAATTAATTTTTCATATCGATTAAGATGCAATCCTTTTCTAATTTTTTAAGTATATGGTACAATTCATAGATCATTATAAAATGAAAGTAGATATTCAGTTTATAAATAAATATTAAAAAGTTTTTATTAAATGTTAATAATTAATAATATATATATATATATGTATATATGTATATATATATATATTTACTTACAATTAAATATTTTTAAAGGCTGTTAATAAACTGTCTTTTAATTATCTTATCTTGCTCAATACTTCGGTCAATACTTTTGATATTAAACGTTAATTTTATTATAATTCATATTTTTATTTTATAACATGTAGAAAAAAACTTATTCTTAATAAAAATTGCAAAATGTTAATTTCAAAGAACCGAAGATTTGTATATTGTAATACCGATATTAGACGAAAGAAAGAAAAAAAATCATAATTTCATTATTACACATGGTAAAACATTTTTTTAAATATTGATCTATTATACACATACGCAACGTTATTTAAACTATGAACATTTAATAAACAATAATATATTCTTAAAAATTTGTAATTTTCATATACATATGTATAAATCTTATAAGATTATTTTAAGATAAAATGCTTGTGAGAAAATTTTTTCCAAATTTTTTTCTTGTTGTCTTGAGTTTGAATTTTTATTGCTTAATTCGAATTTTGGCATTAAATTTTATTAGATAATTCGGATATTAAAAAATATATAATCAGATAGAATTTGAAATTTAATGGATTTATATAAATTGTATAATTAGCAGTATAATAACATTTGGAGATACTTAGGAAATATGTAGTCATATAAGAATAAATATTTTATAAATATAAAAGAGTTTAAGAGTTTCATATAACAGTATGGTTTACTATTATGGTTTACAATTGTAATGAAACGATAAGAGCTTGAATATATTAATCGACAATAGATAATAATGTGTGTGGATTTTATATGCAAAACTTGATTATTTAACAGCATTGCTTTGTAAATTCACTCTGTAGATATTGAATAATATTTATTTGACGCTTATAATAAAAAGTATCATGATCAAGTAAGATCAGTTCACCAATTGTTAATTAGATCTAATTAAAACTTATTTCTTTTATGTATTGCACATTCTTTAAAAATTCCGTATAAAAATTGATAATTGCAATTGCAAGCTTGTTACTTGTTAAATTATGAAAATGTAATGTAACATGACATTATTCCTTGGTAGAGGGGGAGGGGAAAGGGTGTATGAGAGAGAGAGAGAGAGAGAGAGAGAGAGAGAGAGAGAGAGAGCTCTGGGTGAAACGAAAGTGAGAATGAAGAAACTACACACTGCACCCTAGTTTAATGGAGTCCAAGGCCAAGATTGGAGCCCCTCGGAAATCCGATCTTGTGGCTTCAATCGCAGATATTGTCATCGGTATTTGATCATTGCTGTAGGCTCCGAGCCTCTTGTAACTTTATAATTAACTCGAAGCTCTCCCTCGGTTGCGCAATTTCGCGAACATCCGTGCGCATTGGCTAAGCAGCAGCTGATCCTGTTGCGTTGAAATTAGCAGTCCGCGTTTGTCTCGTTTTCCGCAGCTCGGGCTCCTTTCCCTTTTCTCGAGTCACGGCTTTTTATTTATTTTTTTTATTTATTTTTTGTTTTGTTTTTTTTTTTTTTTTTTTTTTTTTTTTTTGTTTTATTCTTTTCGAAACGCCAGACACTCTGTACGCCTACCGGCAAGAGCTCAACTCCAGAAGAGAAAGATTTGTGCGTGTGTGACTCCATTGCGTCTTGGAGATCATGGATTTTCTTAGCCGACTTTTAAGCAGACCCGCGCATCACCAGCCAGCTATTTGCGACGTATCGATCATAGATCGCGAGGTAAAGATACGTAATAATACTAAGTGAGTTTCTTAGATTAGTTTTGAAGGTCGTGAGTGAAACCTATAGTATAAAGTCAACTATATGATTATTGAAATCTGATGGGAAGAAGTGTCTTGGGACAGTGCGACAATAAGTGTTACAAGTAGTTTTTGGCATACAAAATACCTCACATACATACTACATTACTCTGTTAATCCGACCTCTCATTTATTAGATTAATGAATAATTGCAGTGGTTCCAAAATTGTATTTCGGTTCATTCATCGTTTCTCTGGATTGAATCATATTGTATCAAGTTTTATTAAAAATGCAAAATATAAGACATGACAACAATTGCATTCAAAAAAACATTGAAAATACATTTTCTGGTAATGTGGGTTAAAAAGAAAAAATTAGAAAATTAGCATTAATACTATAATATGGAAAAATGCAGCATGAAGGATATACTAGAGAATAGTTTTAATTTAAATATATATATATATATATATATATGTATGTGATATGAACAAAGCTAATATACTTTTAACGTATAAAATAATTATAATTGTTAGTTTAAATGTTATTTTAAAGAAATAAGTCACTCGCTTTCAAATTAAGAATTAAAAAATGTTTTTGTACATGAAGTTTAAAATTAACAAGCTGAAATTCGTTAAAAATAAATAAAAAAAAAAACAAACAAACAAAACATTAAATTTTTATTACCAAGATACAATTTTATATAATTAGAATTTCATTTCTTCGCATACTTTCGCTTATTATTACTAACTTATTTTCTTGGCCTTAAGTAATCTAATATTAAAATTCAATATCATTTAGAAGTAACACAAGCATGGATAAAACTTGACCCAGTTACAGTAACTTATTTAAATCATTTTTTTTTTTTTTTACATATTTAACAGTTTTAATAAGTCTTTAATTTTTAAATATTAACCTTGTATAATATGTTATAAAAATTTTGATTAATGATTCAATTCAAATACTTTGTACAATACTTAAATAAAATACTTTTATTTATTCTCGTATTAAATTTTATTTTTTTTTTTTATTTTTTTTATTTTTACTAGGTTTTGATAGAGAATATAAAAAAAATTACAACAATTAATAAATTTATGAAAATTAATTTTTGTATTTACAGTCCACAATTTATATATATATATATATATATATATATATTATATATTATAATTAATATATTTATATTTTGAACATTTTAAATATTAAAATTGTTGAATGTAGCATATTTGCAAGAACTTGACATATTTCAAGGCGAACGGCAGCGTGATATTTTAGAATTCGGGCATTGAAGATATGCGTATTACTTTAGAAAATAGAGAGAAAGATGAAAATGATGTTAATGTACATTGAAATTATAGACGTATGACTATAATAACATTTGGCAACGTTTTGATTTCATCTCGATTAACTTTCGTCCCTGTAGGGGCATCGGGCAAATTTTAGTGAAAAAGCTTATATTCTCCAAGCTGTATATAGCGAATAACAAATAATCTCCATAATGTCACATTATATTAAACAATAATTTAATAAGCTTATATCGATTCTGCTGTGTAGCATACATAATTTTAAATTAGTCATTCCAATAATGTTTTATCATACCCAATTGTAATTATACATATTAGTGTGCATGTATTTAAAGTGAAGTAAATTATTACTTATATTATTATTTATATTCGCAGTTAGTTTGAACATACGACTCAAATGATATAATTATAAAAAAAAAAAAAAAAAAAAAAAAAAAAAAAAAAAAAAAAAAACTATATTAAAAAAGTAATGTATATTTTGACTGTGAAAATAACGTTAAAAATGCCACGATTGTGCAAATAAGAATATCGTGGTGATTTTTAAAAAAGAAAAAATGTCATTTAATACATCGGACTTTACGTTTTATGTGCAGAGTGTCGGCTCGTCGTCGTCGCCATCGTCGTCGTCATCGTCTCTTTCGCCAGCAGTAAAAAAGCAAAATCGGGCGCAAGCAACCGATCAGTCGGAGCAGCTGACACGCATATCTCGTGATCATCCGGAGGCGTCATCGAGTGGCCCGAGCAGCTTAGTCCCTGAGAGTTTGTCCTCGGCTTCTAGCTTCCAGAGCCTCGCCTCAAATCATAGTTCAAAAAGCAGCAGTGGCATATGTACGGATTCAGCACCCGGTAGCCCAGACAAGACTAGCCATGCTTTTGACAACTCCTACATCAACGTCGACATACCCGACGTTGACGATTTAATCAATGCTTGCTTGAATATCAACTTGAACGACGGCCCCTCGGTCGACTCTCCAGACAACAACACAAGCAATCTCAGCCACGATCAAACCTTTGCTTCCGCGACTGATGATACAATCGCAAATGAAACCCCGATTGAGCTACGCCTCGAAGAGAGCATACAGACATTTGAGACTTGTCCTGTATTAGAGGTAACATCATCCTTTCCGTCTCCATCATTTCTTTTTATTCGATATCGATAAACAGCGTGGGGCCATTCGTTTCTTTGAAATGTTAAACATTTCGTTATGAAATAATATGTAAATTATTTATTGTTCGATTTTTTGCTCCTCTTATCTTAGTTGAATTTCTTATCTATAATTGCAATTTTTCGTTATTTAATGGTGATAGATAAAAAGTAAAAACACAATAGTATTATTAAGTATATAGGCATTATCAGAAATAGAATCTCTAATATCTTAATGCTGTTCGAACAAAGCAAAAGACGAAATAAAAATGAGAGAGAAAAGAAAAGAACATATTTGTATCATTATAATCGTTATTACTTTGCCTTCGGTTTTAAATGTAATTTAATTGGCGAAGAATGTTTCGAATAGTAAGATTATGATATCAATTTACCGAATCGGAAGTAAACGTTAAATTAAAATATTAAATAGTTGCTCAGAAATTGGAAAGCAAAATCTAAAACTATTTGCTTGGTATGTTTTAGACAAATCAAGTTTTGAAAGCAGAGCCTTTATCATCTAGTATTGTGAAATCGTCTGCTTCAATCGATCAGCCGTTCATTACTCCGTACGTTTCTTCGTTCGAGAATAGTGTAGTGCAGAGGCACGATAACGAATCGGAGTTCAAAAGCTCACTCAGCTCCTTGCAAATTGACGGCGGCACGACTGGCTCGACTCTCTCTAGCGTAGTCGACGTTATTGGAGAACCGAAAATCTGCACTAAAAATGAGACGGTTATTGAAGTGACGAACGACATAGCCAACTTTTCATTAAGGGATCCAACAAATGGTTAGACAAATGTTATTTATTAATTAACTATTTTATATAGTTCGATTCCTATATTATAATATATAGTTTTATTTTACGTCTGCCGCACGGGTGGAATTTTAAGACTTTAATTGCTTTAATAACTTTAATAATTGATCGATCGAAAGTGTAAAATTTATAAAATTAATGATTGAAAATTTAATCCATATTTATTATTCTCTTGTTTATTGCATTTTGCTCAAGCTTTCATTTACAATATAAACTTAGGCCATTCTATAATATTACTGCTATGTGTGCATACGAATTAGCAAATAAATTTAAAAGAATTTTCATAAAATTTAACTTAAAACTATGTACATGTATATATATATATATATATATATACATACATAACAATCATAACCGGTTAAAAATAATTAAATTTATTTAATATTTATTTAGTTTGTAATTAAAAGCAGTGAATTGATAAGTAGAAAACTACAAGTAAGTTAATTAATTTTAAATTAAATAAGATTTCAATTCTCAATTCTCAATTCTCAAGTAATGAATCGCTTTAAAAGATTTACAAAATAAAAAAAAAAGTGAAAACCGTTGATCTCTGTTGAAGGGTGATAGTTAATTTTTTTTACATTGATAAAATAATTATCGTCGATATTATCGTTTGATTATTAATTATTGTTGATATATTGAGTAAAAGAAAATTAATTATACTGCACAGATCAAAAGGAGCAACAAAATGCAACTGAAGTGAATTTATGCATTAATAATGCCCAGAACTACCAGACACTCGATTGTACTACTCTATTGAGTTCAGAGTCAAGATCTGACGAATCGAAGAAATTTATTGTAAAAACTGCAGATGAGTTTAATTCAAGCGCCGTAATAGATAAGAAGAGTATTAGAACAGACACAAATACTACAAATAAAAATGAACTTATCGAGAAAGAAGAAAATACTATAAATAATACTGATAATAAAATTAAAATTATTGTAGAAAAGACAAATATTTTAAATAAAACACAGGATATAGAAACGGATAAATTTTTAAATAATAGAGACGTTATCTTACAAAGGGATAGTTTACCAAACAATATACAAGAAACTACTGAAAAGTTAAATGCTGTAAATAACGATACAATTGTTGTAAAACGTGAAAACAATTTAGATAATCCAGAGATTATTAAGAACGATATTCAAAATAATATAGAGAAATTTATTGAGATAAAAGATGAAATTTCAAAGCCCAATAATCAATTGATCGATGAACAAATTGAGCATATTAATTCAATTTCTAAAGCAGTATTAGATACACAAGAAAGAGAAAATAAAGTATCGATTGCAGAGACAGTAAGTCCGAAAAATAACGACACATGTGTAGTAAATGAAATAAAAACTCCCAATAAGTCAAACGTAGTTATTAAAAAGGAAATTGAAAGTTCAAATTTTAGTGAAACGATTCTTCTCGAAGAATCGCATAAAGCAGATACCCTAAACATTGAAGTAATAGCTTCTACTCCATTGCCCACAAAGTCTTTAACTAAAGATAATACCCACGAATCTTCATGTAGAAAAAGTGCATTATTTGTTAAGAAATCTGACATTTTGGAAGACGAATATGAAAAAGAATGTATTAAAAATTTAGAGACATTGGTGAAAAGAGAAGAAGTTGTTGAAAACCACGGGAACATTAATTTTGATGAAACAGTAGCGATAAATAAGTCCTTCGAGAAACTATTCTCTCCAGAGCTTATCCCTAAAGAAAATCTTGACTTGAGCAACAATATTCTGCATGAAAATTCCTTAAATCTACTACCTCCTCAGGAATCCGAATACGAGGCTTTCAAGCCACAACAGCAGAGTACAAATTTACCATTTCCTGATCCAAGCAACTTTCGAGCGCTACAAGAGGCTGCTTTATCCGTTGCCAAAGAGATCGATGATTCTGTAGAAAAAATTGAAGAGAGCGAGCATTTTGTTTCAGCAACTACCGAACGTAAGTTTATATCTGAAGAGGAAATTTTGTATTTATTCGTAGCTAAAATATTAAATAAGTGAATTTGACTTTCAATACTGCGTACGTTATATTTTAGAATACAGACTTTTGTATAATGAATTTTCATATATAACAATTTGCATTGTTGAATTTGTTAGAATTTTATATTGCGTTGTTCGATATTGATTTTATAATATAATAGAAGTATTTAATTGTAAAATATATCATTATTTGTCTAATTATTAAAAGTTTTTTTTTACTTATAACTAAGAAACAAAACAAAAAACAAAAAAACAAAAACAAAAAAACCAAAAAAAAAAAAACAAAAAAAAAAACAAACAAAAAAAAGAATTGTCTTTTAAATGAACTATAATTTTATTTATTTAAATTTACAGTATTTGGAGATCCATCGGCTCTTGATTATCTTAATCAGGTCGGATCGCAAACAACCAGACGTGGCGAAAGATATGATTCATTGTACATGAAGTTTGATCCTTTGGCTGAAAAATTAAGTATGTTGCCTCAAAAGAATCTTCCTGCTTCTGCACTACTCGATGAAGAAAAAGAAGCTAAAGTTGAAAATTCTCTTAGTAATATGGGAACGCCAAAGAAAAATCCTGCGTTAGCAGCTATTGATAGATTGCTTTTTTACAGTCCGTGTACAGCTCCTTCGACCGATACCGAAGTACCAGAAGCTATACAAAAGAAGGTATTTTATATTATTATTCAATGCCCTATTTATATATTCATGCATAAATAAGGAAAGAAATGAGGGATAAAGTTATGCGGCATAAAAATAACCGTTTATCTTTAATGTGAACAAATTTTTTATTTATTTCACTAGGAAGTAATTGAAAAACAAGAACCATTGGTTCCGATTGTTGATGAAAAAATGGCTAAAGAATTGGAGTTTGTTAGGTCAACCGTACTTCAATTGGAAGCAGAAATCGAAAAACAACAGCAAGAATACAAAGATCAATTAGATAGACAAAAGGAGGTATTTGAAGATAAAATAAGTCTTATACAAACCAAACATAATCAAATGCAGGCGCAATTAACACAGGAGGTTAAATGCAAAGATCAAATGACGTAAGCATAATAATGCAATTAACTTGCATGAATTGCGCTCGACCATTTAAGAAAAAGTGCAATTAAAGCATGTCAAAGGAAAATTTGATACCTTTTAATTCTGTAACAATTTTTCTCTTTTCCCCTCTCTTAATAGGGTTGTGGTGGAAGAGTATGAAAAGTCGATAAGTAGGTTAATAGCGGAGAGAGAAAAAGATCGAACAAATTTCGAAGCAGAGAAAATTAAAATTCAGGAAGAACTTCAAGTTGCCAATCAGCATCTTAGTAATACCGAAGCAGCTTTCAGTGACGTCCATTCAAAGTATGAACGGCTCAAAAATGTAGTTTCAGCCTACAAAAGTAACGAAACCGTTCTTAAAGAAAGTATCGCAGAGAACCAAGAAACTATTAAGACACTCGAGAACAGATACGAGCAGCTGAAAAGCCATGCAATGGCACAACTTGAAAAGTACGTATTTAATATTTATGTACGTATATTATTTATGTGGTGATAAAAAATTCATAGAAAAAGTAAATTTTTTATGTTTAAGAATGTAAGGTACATTTGAGAGAAATGAATACATTAAATTTGCCTGCACCAAATGAAAGCTTTATAAAACAAAAAGTTTTATAAAATCATCGGAGCTTTTATATGAAATAATGATGTTCATTTACGTATTTTAATATCAAATAATTTACTGCTTTTCAGGGCAAATTTGGAATTAAGTGCTATTAGAAAGCACAATGAAGCTGAAACAGTGAAGCTAAAAGCATTGGTCAGAAAGGCTGAATTAAAGAGCAAGTCTCTCGAAGAGACGGTTGAACAAAAAATGAAAGAAAATAAGGAATTAACTCAAATAATTGACGAAATGATAGCAAGGGTTGATTAGTCGTTATTTTTTTACTCTACAGGATTTATTATTTAGGTTTAAGAAGCGTCATGTAATATCGAATATGTCCATACTTATATATTGTTTTTAAAAAGAAAGGAAAAATTGTCTTAGCTTAGTTTGAAATAAGCCGTTTTACTAATTATTTATAAGTTGTAAAATACAATATTTTATCGCAATAAAACAAAATCGAGGCTTGTTCAAACTATAAAATTTGTATTCCCCCAAGTCCTATTAAGATATAGTACAAATTTCCATACATAGTTAATTTTATTAGCAACAGTGTATACGCATAAGCGACATTTTTAGAAAAAATATATTCAATCTTAAATCTTAACAAACTACTTATCGATACAATTTATTGTTTTTAATTTTAATCGATCGTACATAGTTATTCAATAACATTTTTTAATCTATTGATCCTAACAAGGCCACTTGATTTATCTTGCAGTTATCGAAGCTATTTAACTGATATAAAATAAGTTTAATGTACTTAGAACGATTTGGTCTTTTTTTTCATATTTTTCTTCTTCGTTTTTTTTTTTTTTTTTTTTTTTTTTTTTTTTTTTTTTTTTTTTTTTTTTTTTTTTTTTTTTTTTTTTTTAACTCAATATTTTATAATAAACGTTGAAGTTTATAAATACCTAAATTATTTATTGTTTATCCAATAAATAAGGTCGACATATTAAAAGTGCAAAATTACTTTTATAAATGATATACCAAAACCATAATTTTATTTCAATAAATTATGTGTATTAAAAAAAAAAAAAAAAAAAAAAAAAAAAAACCACCTTTTAATTAAGTAGAATATAATTGTAATGGCAACAAAAGAAAAAGAATATTTTCGACAAAATTTAATAAGAAACTAGAATTAATAAAACAAAAAACAAAAAAAAAAATCTATCCCAACATACAATCTTACTTTCATAATAATTCAATAAACCGTTTAATTTACAGTTTTTAGCAGTGTAGTCGTTTCTAATTCTCTAATTCTTCTTTCTTCTTCTTGTTTTACCTATATTACAAACAATAAATCTGTAGAAAATTAAAAACTTTGCTCTCCATTATAAGTAAATCACCAGATAGATTTTTTTAACATTAAAACTAATGAATTCACAGGTATTTTTAATTTATCACTAATAAACACCTTTTATGAATAGGTCGGTCGGTCACTAATTTTTAGAATCACATGGAGAAAAAAAAAACAAAAACAAAAAAAAAACAAAAAAAAAAAACAAAAGAAAAGGAAGAAAGAAAACACTAAAGATCAGTCTTGGTCTCAACAATGAGAAGAACATGGCGTTTGGCGAGCTTCAGCATACGATCGCTCGTACTACCAGGCTTTCGTGGAAGATTTTTATTTTCCAGATCGGGCATGAATTTTCTCACAGTACGTGCTAAACTGGTCGCATATTGCTTGAACAGTGAATGATTCATTCCAATGCCTTTACTCCGCAGTGCTTCGGCAACGGCCCAAAGTAATTTCTAAAAGATAAAAAAAATCATCATTGTATTAACTTTATATTAATGCTACAATAATATCGATAAATTATGTTACTAATATTATAGATGAAAATTCAAAAAATTTATTATTACACTAATTACAAGGTATATATATACATATATATATATATATATATATATAAATTAAAAGTTATTTATCCTCTTGTATGACCAATGTCAGTTCATTCGCTTATCAAACGTTCATAATGTTTCAAATAAGATAAAGGTGAAATTATTTTCAATAGAATGTATCATTAATGGAACTAAGCATTGTGACAGATCGAATTTATTCTTATACATTTATTTATTTATCAATATAGGCATGGGCGCAATCTTTCAATGAAATCACCAGGCTACCTTTCTATGCGTTTCGCTAAGTTCGCATTTTCCATAATATAATGTGCCATCCTTTGATAAGACGCCGCTCGTCGAATGCCTTGCAGGATTCCAAGTATTTGACGAACTATTATCGAGATTTCGGGCACAGTCGAATGACAAACTCTTTGCCCACTTTTGTCTTGGATTTTCCAATTCATCGTCATTTTTTCGCTTTCTTGATTCCGGAAAGCTCAATGATTGAGTTTGAGAAATGTCACCGGCTATAAACAAAAAAAAAGAAAATGAAAGAAAGAAGGTATTAATAGGTATTAATTTTATGTAAAATATAAGAACAACAAATTTTGGGGAACAAGAAATTGATGAGAAATTTTCTACTAATACGTTAGTTGAATAAGTAATCATGAAACCAGACAATATTTGAACAATTTCAACAGGTAATTTTCTATAAAACAATTTTCTATAATAAATAATATAATACCTTTATTATCATCAATCATTAATATTTCATGCATTTTTCAGCTTTCTCAATCTATTAATTTCTTTCCAACAACGATCAGTTGAATCGTTGACAATTGTAATAGTAATTATCAGTTAACATTAGCTAATTATTTCGATTTATCGATTAATTCTAATGGGGTAAAGAATGCAATTTCTTGCACATTCTTTGCACATTAATGCATTGGGATATATAGTTCGAGTGAAAATAATCGGGGGGCTTCGAACCTTCGTTTTTCTTTGGTGTTGGAAACAGTGCTCTCTTTATTTTTTGGGGATTATTGTTATTGACGTTCGTCGTGGCGACTGTTTGGCTGGAGCAGGGCTTATCCAATGGTGGACTTTGGAAAAGAGCTCGCTTCGAAGTTTCGATTTTGGTTTTCCTCGGCGACGGACCTTCAAGTACGAGTCTTCGAAGGTGACGTTTCTTTGCCGAGCTACGTGGAGTCTTGGTTCGTGGACTTTTACCCCGTGGACTTTTACCCTTACGTATAAACCCTTTTCTAAAAGTTCAGGTCACATTAACAAAAACAAACGAAACAACATACAAATATTATCGATACGCGCATTACTAATAATTATTTCATATTTAAAATATGTTATACGTTTAATGTCTTGAGTAATTAATAATACGTAAATAATATATATATATATATATATATATATATATATATATACATAATCTAATGTTTAATATTAAGCAGATACTTGAATTTTGGAAAGTTTCATCAAACTTTCTATTTTGCTAAATGACATTGTAAAATAAATATATTTATACGAGATGATAATAATCCAATTGCTCTATCTAAATATCGTTAACATTTCTTTTGGGCATTTATTCAAATTTTTTTACGATATCATCGATCGTATGAAATGCTATTTTTATTATTATTATTATTATTATTTTTTTTTTTTTTTTTTTTTTTTCCACCGTCCGTATAGAACCGACGTCTTTTTGTTAGTTGTTAGTTAGTTAGTTAGTTAGTATAGTCTTTTTGTTGTTGTCGTCGTTGAAAATTTAAGATTGTCGATTTTTAAGTTTATTGCAATAGCGATACCGAACCTCAGTCGGTTCGTTGCAAAGAGAAATTTAACATTTGTTAAATGTACCTCACGTTTAGAATGAGATGTTTCTTTTCTGCAAGGCCAAGACCTTGCAAATTAGCACTGGAAAATGTTCTTCGTCTTCTAGCCAAATAACTGAGCCTTTTACCAGGACTTTGACCATTGTTACGTTTTGCTAAAAGATTTCGTTTTCTTGTACTTCCTGGCATTTGTTTAGCAAACCAAATGTTGCATGTCGATTGCGTTTCTGCTCCAATATACCTATCGCATAATTTCAACCTAAGATTCTCAAAATCTTCTATAACTTTGTTCCTATTGTAGCTAAAATTACAAATCAAACGTGTTAGTAAATGACACATATTCATTTCCATATAATTCTATTCCTTACTTAAGAGTTTGATAATCAGTTTAATTATAATGTTAATAGAATGTACGATTAAAGACCTATGTGAAATAATACCTACATTAAATAATTGTTGTTTTATTAAATGATCGAAAGAGGAAGAGTAGAGAGAAATTAAATTGGTAAATAACAAGTATTGTATGAAAATAAAATTTGAACGTGTCCCAATAACGGTTATTATCCTAAAATAACTGTGCACTCAATGATTTCCTCGACATTAAATAGAATATGAAATTTAATTAAGAAAGTAAAACTAAAAAACTAAAAAAAACTAAAAAAAAAAACTAAAAAAAAAAATACAATAATGACAATCGTTGATAATTAATAATCACACTCACTATATTTCATGACACTTGTGTTTATATGCATCGGGCCAAGGTAATACAGTAACATCTTCGACTTTAATGGATGTGAACAATGTCGGCGGTGCTTCCGTATCATTGTCGTGTATTTTGCTATCCTCGTTAAACGATGTAAAGGTGGATGTTGATAAAATAGAGCAATTATTAAAAAGTGTCTCGGACAATGTGAAGGAGTTCGTTGTTTCGGAAAATTCCGTACCAGACGCCAATGAATCATTATGATCAAATTTTAAATAATTGGGCTGTTCACATGCGTCAAAAGCTGTACTAAGATTCCGTAGGCCAGCTTTTGCTTGTTGATAGACCTTTGTACAGCATGAATTAGTATCTTCATTCCTATCATTCTCTTCGTTGACTTTCTGTAAATGAAAATTCTTAAGTTGAATACAATCGATTGCCCTGACTAATCGGACATTTATATGGACGAATTTAAATTGACGACAAATGGACGTATACGGCTAACAATTTACAATTGAACTTTAAAAAAAAAACTTCAGCCCGGTTCTTCGATTATCACGAGGCTGAGCTAAGTCATAACGCAACTTGAGCTCAACTATTGTACAAAGATTGTTGACGTTCGCAGTAAAAACAATGCACCACCGACGAAATTCTTCAGTCGATCGATATTGACATTAAATACATTCAACCGGCATATAAAATCGCTCTTTAGCTTATCAAGCATTTTCTTTCACTTTTTACCTATACTTTCATATCTTTTTCTCCATGATAATGTGCAAATTAGTAATGTACATATGCAACGTTAGAAATTAATTTGTTAATAACTATGCCAACAAGCTATAATTATTTTTGCAATGTAATTGCAATTGACTTGAAATTATTAGTGATTATTATATACCCATATAACATTGATATAACAGAAGAAAAAAAAACAACAACAAATATATATTTCTTTTGTTTCAAGAAGCTTTAGAATCTACTTTCATTAGGTTTTAGAAAACTCAAATATCAGCCAGTGTACACCTGTTATTATATAATAAATAGTAAGCTTTTAACGAATTTTCTTTAAATATTATTTTTATTTTTATAAATATCTTCAATAATTTCATTTTCTTTAATTAAAATTTTTTATTTGTTTTTAAAACTTGGCTAATAGAATTCCATTTCTTTATCGGCACATATTTTATAATACATTACGCGAAACTAATTAATCATATTTATCATCGATATATGTTATACGTTAATTATCTATTTTTAGAAAGAAATTAGATATTATATATATATATATATATATATATGTGCGCGCGCGCGTGTGTGTGTATTACATAGTAGAAATTATCTTTTATATTCCAGAGTTTTATTTTCATAATTAATATAAATATTTGGTATAAAAGTTGATTAGGAAATTTTAAAAAACAATATTACCCGAATCTCTTAACTCGTAATCAAATTGAGCTTGACTATGGAATTTAAAGTACCGATTCAGTTATTATTATGTTATTTTTATGTCAAAGTGTAATTTAATAAGTATTTAAAGTGTTAATTTACAATTGAAACAGTCTTCCATCGAGTAGAAAATTATTAAATACAAATTAGTCCTAGAAATTGATATATGGATTTATGTATTGAAACATATGCATAACCTGTATCGAAGAAATTGAAATTGTTTTGGATTCTGTCGACAGATGCTTGCTTTCCAGTTTAAAGGGATCGGCCCAAAAGTACTGTCGATTTTGTTTAATATATACAAGAAAATCGTCGCAATCTTTCTGCGATATTGTATGATTTGGTGGCGGAGGTACACCACTTAAAAACTTGTTTACTCTCTTTAACAAGTATTTGTCCGCCTTTAGTATCTGCTCGGCAGTGGTGAGTTTCTTTGGGCTTGGTAGTGAGACTCGCGGCTCGTCGAGAACGTTTTGAAAATTGATAGTCGTGTTTGTACTCTCAGCTTCATCATCAGCGTCGCTGTCAAAGAGTTCAGGACTCGGAGCGTCTTGGAGTTCAAAGTGCTTTGATATATTCGACGATTCGTCATAGTTGCAGTCCATCGCATCTTCGCTTACATAGATCACTGGTGCTTGCGGTTGTTCTGATTCAGAGACCGTTATACTCTGGTGCATTGTTTCATCGCGAGTCTTCTCCTCCACTTCCATTATTATCTTTTCAGTAATGGAGTCTGAAAGGAAAGGAGATTGCTGTTATATATTTGGTGAAATAAATTGATATAAAATTAACAATTAATAGCGTAAAATGTTCTTAATGAAATAAAGAAATTCTCATGGAAAAATCTTTTGTGAAATTACCACGCAATAACCATGTATTCATTTATAAATCCATTTTACATTATTATACAGTTAGAAAGAGGATTCAAAGTTATTTATAGTTAAAATTGAATAAAACTACCAACCAAGGATTTGAAATTTATTTCGACAAAATTTTGTTGCTTATAAAATAGAACACAATTAGCTGGTGCTTATATTTAAATATATATATATATATATATATATATATATATATATATATATATATATATATAATATCTAATTTCTTTCTAGAAATTAATATTCTGCGTAGTTGTCGATGTTATCTTACAAAAGAAAGAAGAACATTGATAATTCAAAAATTGTATGATTAATATAGTTAATATAAATGATATAATTAATTGAATGTTTTAGAATAATGAAATTGAGAGTAAAATATTTTAAATTTAAAAAAATTCTTTTTCATTTTTTACAAATATTTTGCTGTTACGTTTACAATCTAAAATTATCAACAATATGTACATTTAGAAATTTTCTTTTCGCCGACTAAAAATTACGAGCCAACAAATTAATTATTAATAGAACGTTTAAAATAATAATAACTTATATTCCATTTGTTACGTCAAATTATTATCAAGTAATCAAAATAATATTTATTGGTAATGCGTTAAAGATTTTAAAAAATAAATTCCATATGAAATAATATTTAATATAAGTTAATATCTTTGTTAAACTGTTTATTTAAAACGTATAACTAGTCGCATTGTTAATTGTCTCGTAACATATCATTATATTATCGCAAATGTTAATATATAATGTATTGCTTTTATATTTGAATTTGATGAATGAGATACTCGATAAATAATTAGGAGAGAAATAAATTAAATACATTCTCGAGTAAAGGATTAAATTTCATTCCTAATTATATTAGAAAATCTGCTTTATATAAAGCAATATTATTTATGTTAAGCATTGAATTGAATTGCAACGGTTAGTAATAAATTAGTAATTAAGATTCAAATAATAGGTTGGTAGTCGGTGTTGTATATCTTACGTAGAACAATATTTGTTTAACGAGAAAATTACCATGTGTGGAAGAACTGAGAGCAAGATCTTCCTCGAGAAACGAGGATTGTTGCTTCAGTGTCAACGATACATCCAAGTTCGGCATTTCTTTAACTGGAGTATTTGTTTCCGAGTGCATTATTTGTATAAATATTATCTAATTCCAACTTCCACCATTGCTTTATGGTAATATTATAAATTAAAATTACCAGCAAATTTCAATACATTCTATTCGCCTGAACCTAACCCAAAAACTACACTACTCAATTAAATACTTTTTAATTAAAACTTTCAAATCGAACTATTTATTAGCTCGTTGCATTAAGACGCATAAGCAGCGAGGCAATTGGTTGTAATTTATTTTCCCGATGATTACAAATGAATTCGTCGTTCATTTAAAGCAAAATGTAAGGCACAGGGTGAATTATACTTCAAATATGTGCAGGCATTCATACACATAACTCTTGCTTTCACACATATTCTGTTCACTGACTTTGCTTTTAATGACAAATTATTTTCAAACACTGGGCCCCCTCATATTACGTTTGATATGTCAAATATTAAGAATAAATATAGAAATTTACAATTAACATGGCGTTAATTTTGGGCGCAGTAACTCATGATTTTATTTCACCTATACAGATTTCAGCTGCTTTGTTCCGTTCCACGATTTTTACGATACTTTAAAGCGAGAAAAGGAATGAGGAGGGAGAAACAGAGAAAACCTGATCTTTGACATCTCGACAGAGCGTAATTTACCGAATGGATTTTAATCTTCGGAGACGGCACAATTCTACTTGCCTATCTATATCTATACGCACACACACTTCGCGCACTTATATATATATATATATATATATGGACTGAATGTCGCGCGATGTTATAATTTTATAAGAAATAAAATTCTAATATTATTAATAATAATTTAATTTAATAAATAAATATACGTGCGCATACGCACGCGCGCGCGCACACCTGCGCCTACAAACGCACGTATGTACAGGGATTAACGTCAGCGCTGTTTTTCTAAGAATTTAAAGTTAACGGTTGGTTAACGTTAACATGACCGTTAAAGCGTTTCATTTTTAAAACACACTATGCGTGTGGGTATGTGTATGCATGGGGGAAATCTATTGTTAATCATAAGTTTATTATGACGCAATTTGTCATTTCAAATTTTATCATTTAATTGCTGGCAATGTCGCGATGCTTAATTATTAAGCAGTATAAAGACATATTTAATTATATTTAAAATAGTATATAAATTTGAAGATAATTAAATCAATAGTAGATAAGTTTTATACGATTATAATTTAATAAAAGTGAAGGATTAAAAGGCGATAGTAGAATTAATTATTTTATTCAATTAGATGCGAGATGGTAAGAGAGATATTTTGTAATCCTGCGTCATCGATAAAATGATATCGTAACTTTCGTCAAAAAGAATTTGTTTACTGGCAATATTTTAAATTATAGAAGCACTTGTTTAAAATACTTACTTAACTTACTTACTTACTTACTTACTTACTTACTTACCCCCACCCCCGCCATCCATCAATCCATCCATCAATCCATCCATCCCTTCACACGTATAAAAATATTTAGACAATGAATAAGAGCTTTGAACTAATATTGAAATGATATATATTTCTCTAAAGTAACTTTTATATTTTATATTCAATATGATAGCATATTAATTGAGAATATTTCATAATTTTTGAGAAATACAGGTGACTTAAGGGGCAATTTCTTTTCTTCTCTCTCTCTCTCTCTCTCTCTCTCTCTCGCTATTAATTAAAAATTATTTAAAAACCTTACAACACCGTTTCTTATATTCTTAAACCCTTGATAATAATAATATTACGAATGATAATGATTGATAATTATAGATATAAGAAGATATAAAAATGTTCGTATCAACTAAAGGCTTGAGAGGTTGAGTTAAAATGTCGCGTTAAAAATAATTTATTTAGAATAGATGTAGCGAGTTTATTTTCAAGATCTTAGATTCACTAGCGCTAGATGTGGTAATTTTCGAAGTAGAACAATAAAAATGAAGGAGAGTGTGAAAGTGGTGTAAGAGCCGATGTACTCCTACATCGTTGGTATATGGTTGCTGGCTATAGTCAATCTGCACTGCAGTTCATTCCACAAATATTCCAACTTGTAATTGCGGTCGGTGATGTGCATCGTGTAGGTTAGGTTGTTAACATTTTCGTATTTAACTTTGAAAAAGTTGAGAGCTGAGATTAATTTGCCTAGAAGATGCTCGATCTTTTTACGATCTTTAGTAAAGGTGGTATCGTTCTCTGGTGCTTCCAGAGTACCGCCGATATTTTTACTCCCAGTGTAAACGCCCTGATCAAAAGTGTCATTCTGCAGGTAAGACGTCACTCACTCTGACTTGTTATGTTTATTTATTATTTTTAATTTCGTCGTCGCGTTAATTTATTGTTAATTGATTGTTGCTAAATTTGCCGGAATTATTCGACGGGAATTCTCATCGATTTGCAGAATGGTAATAATTTTACAATTTTCATCTTTTCGTGGATTATAAATCGATTCCATATGGTCACAGCTGTTGAATATGATAGTCACATGCGTTAGTTGGAATCATGGTGTCGGCGTTTTTTATTTCTTTTTTTTTTTTTTGTTTTTTTTTTGTTTTTTGTTTTTGTTTTTACACATATATATATATATATATTTACTGTATTCTATTTCTGCTTTATAATTTTGTATTGATTTCCAATTGTTTTCATAAGTTTTGCGATAAAAAGCATTTGTTGGTCATTATGAATTTAATTGATAATCGAATGAAATTGACATACACTAATTATTATCCAGTAATCTCTATGCAATTGTAAATAAGAGCTCTCGTTATATTTTATGCTCGTCTCATATTTTATACAAATTTTTCACTTTAATTTCAAATTTAATACAGCGTTATAAATTATTAGTCTCATTATGTTTCCCTAAGTCTCGACTTTCACGTACAGCAAAAATTTAGAAAAACTTTTAGCTCCGAAACAATGAAAAATTTAAGTGTTTTGAAATTAAATTTATTAATTAAACACTCGATAGTTTTGTTTTTTTTTTTTTTTTTTTATAATAATATCAATTATAACGATTTAAGTCGTAATGGCTTTATTGGAATTCAATAGTTTGCTATATAATTTGTAAGACGACCAATGAAATCGAACGCAATAATATCAAAACCTTATAATTAATTATGTGAATTGTATTATTATGCTTATCCGTAGCTTATTTTTCATTATTTATATTTTAGGAGAGAACGGGGAATCAAATATTTGAACACGAGTCGCTGCGGTTACAATATAAATTGGATAATGAATTTGAATTGGTTTTTGTCGTCGCATATCAAAAGATATTAAAATTATCATACGTCGACAAGTTTTTAAATGATATTCATTTAGAATTTAGAAATCGTTTTATAAATGAGCTGCAAAGTTCAAAATTATTTTTTAATTATGACTTTATGAACATCTATCAAGAAACGTTGACGCAATCCGAGCAATGGGGAAAATCTCAGGCTAAAATTCCAAAACAAATGAGAACGTTTGACGAAAGCGTTAAATCTAAGAAGACTGTAGCCAGTATGATAGAAAGGAAGGATGATAACAGAGACATTAAAAAACAAAGTAAGGATTACAACCACGAAGTGCGATAAATTATATATTTTTTATGTGCTTATTATTTTAGTAAAAGTATGCTTATCGCTTAAGTTAATTATTCACAGAATTGTTATTGCAAATGTTACTATGTTTGTAAATTTATTGAAGCGTTGCTCGGGAAACGAGTATAATAATGTCATTAATATTAATCTACTATTATTTTTCATCGTTAAAAGTGTAATTTATTATTGGTAACAAAAATTTTAGTTTGAAATGATATTTTGGACGTCGGAATTTGCTTTGATATGCTTTATTACAGGTAAAAAGAAAAAAGGGACCAACGAAGCTGAAGAAAATCAACGTAAGTAATTTTTTAAAGGAATTCTTTTTTTAAAAAGAAAATACATAAATTTATCAAAAATCCAAGAAATGCCTAAAGTATTAGATTCACCCAAACCCGTTGCTGTTCAAAATGGCGAAGTGGGCGAAGAACTATTGATTGCTAATCGCATGAAATTTATGCAGAAAATGACCGAAGTGAAAAAGAAAGCTGACAAACAGTGAGCTAACTAATAAGCAATTTCTACTAATAAAATTCAAAACATAGAAAACGATAATAAAATGCAGTATTTGTATTTTAGAAAAAGTCCAAAGCCTGAAAAAGCTGGTAAGAAGCCTAGAGTGTGGGAGTTGGGTGGAACTAATAAAGATCTTGCAAATTTGGAACGTACAAAAGATAAGCCACAAGAAGCTGGAGAATATATTGCTGCCGATTCAACTGTAAGTTTGTAATTTTATTGTTTATTGAAGAAATATTTTTATACCGTTTTGAGAACGAGTGCCTCGATATATTTATAAATTATGGTGTATTATTTAAAAAGGCATAATGTTAAAAGATGCAAAATTGCATGGGAAAAAGAAAGAATTGAAGATGCACGAGCTAGTATACGACGTTTGTTTTAAAATTCTTATGAGAGTTCTATTGCATTTGATAAAGAATTATTTGTTAATAAAATTATATTCACTGCCACTATTGCGATTATATAAATTATGTTTTATTTGTTAAAATAATATAGATCATTGGTCAAATGAAAGGTGGCATTCGAGACTTGGAAGTGGAAAGCGATACGGACGAAGAAGGCATTAACGAGCAAGATATTCAACGAACCGCAACGCAGACAGCACAAAGAAAGAGTAAAAGTGTCTTTTCCATGTTTAAGAGTCTCGTAGGTAATAAGTCCCTTAAGGAGGAGGATATGCGTCCTGTATTGGAGAAGCTGAAGGATCATTTAATATCCAAGAACGTAGCCACCGACATATCTCAGAAGTTATGCGATTCCATTTGCACGAAGCTCGAAGGCAAAGTCCTTGGTACGTTTGATAGTGTGGCGAATACTGTGAAGTCAACATTGACAGACTCGTTGGTACAAATTTTGTCGCCGAAGCGTCGCGTGGATATTTTGAGAGATGCTTTTGAGGCAAAGCGAAACGCGAGGCCCTACGTTATGGCGTTTTGTGGTGTTAACGGTGTGGGCAAGTCAACGAATTTGGCCAAGATATGCTTCTGGCTGATCGAGAATAATTTTCGAGTGTTAATTGCCGCTTGCGACACCTTTAGAGCTGGAGCTGTCGAGCAATTGAGAACTCACATGAGACATTTGAATGCGCTTCATCCACCCGAGAAGCATGAAGATTTAACGATGGTTCAATTGTACGAAAAAGGTACTACGATCGCTCGATCGTTGCGATTTCATTACATTCTTTATTAAATCGACTGCTCTTCTACCCCGAGCATACTTTTTATACGCTTTTTATACGCTTTTTATACGCTTTTTATACGCTTTTTATACGCTTATTTGTTTTAATCCGAGTCATGATGTAATCACTTCGATTCGATAATTACTTTTACTTCGATGTCGAATCGTTTGAATGAATCGAGCCCCTAAGAATTTCCAAATCCCTCATAAGAATTCAAGTAATATACGAGAAAAATAGCAAAACCATACGCGATAATTAATTAATAAAGCGTTTGTCGTTTCGTTAATTTGAATGTTATTATTGTCAAGCATCCGTTATTAGAAAACGATTAAAAAAAATGTTGAAATATTTGATAAATTGTCAGGGGTAATTAATTATGTCCCTCGACGTTTCAAGATATCAGCACATTAGGCAATGACGATGCACTGTATTCGTAGGATACGGAAAGGACGCAGCGGGTATAGCCTTGGAGGCGATACGCTTCGCGAGGGAATCACGATTCGACATCGTACTCGTCGATACAGCTGGCCGTATGCAGGACAACGAGCCGCTCATGCGCGCCCTTGCCAAGCTCATCAAAGTCAACGAGCCGGATCTCGTGTTGTTCGTAGGTGAGGCGCTGGTCGGGAACGAAGCCGTCGACCAACTCGTCAAATTCAATCAAGCCTTGGCGGATTATAGCAATTCCACTAATCCTCACATAATCGACGGCATCGTGCTTACGAAGTTCGATACCATCGACGATAAGGTTTGTCTATGTATAACGAGTGAAAAATAATCTTATAAATATATTTCATGCCGATGTGCCTTGTTATTTTCAGGTCGGAGCAGCGATCTCCATGACTTACATAACTGGCCAACCAATCGTTTTTGTAGGCACTGGTCAGACATACACAGATTTGAAATCTCTTAATGCCAAGGCTGTTGTTCACGCGCTAATGAAATGAATAATGTTACCTATTTGGATAATCTATTCAGACATAAATTTATTAAATCATTGTTATATAATACATTGATATATTTATTGTACAAAATTATATTAATATTCGATGATTAATCTGTAATGTTCCTTTCGTCGGATTATAATATATATATATATATAAAATTTTATATAATTAAATAAAAACTCGGCTCGATATTTTATTCAATTTCAATTTCAATTTTAATTTCAATTTTTACATTACTTATGTCCTATTATTCCATATACTGACATCGCTATATCAAAGTTTATGAATAGGATAAATAAAAATGATAATTAAAAATTATTATCGACCACACCAAGTGCCGTATGCAATTCTTCGAATAACCTAATTTTTGCCATTCGTTCATTGTCAATTGTAAATCTTTCTTTTTCATTGTCTTTCCTTCCTCGCTCAATGCAATATCGTTATCCGGCGAATTATCCCTCTTCTTCCGGATTATTAATCCTAAGCTTAAATATATCCCATTGAGATTTGTTCGGTGGCACGACTACTTCTTCCATCCTTACTAACGGCTGAAATTTCACAAACTACATTCTCATCTTCGAATTCCCAAAGAACAATGTCATCGAATTTCTGCTCTTCTGCGATGTTACCGCAAATTGGCATTCGAAGAATGAAACCTAAAATTAGAAGGTTTTTTTTTTTTTTTTTTTTAAACATATTTCGATAAATGGAAATAACATTGACGCTTGAATTTTTAATTTTAAAAAATATTGCAACATAATCCGATAATTTGAATTTAATTTCATATTATTAACAAGGGAAAGAATTTTTAATTTCGATGAAAGCACACGGCATGATTGTACGATGCAATTATCGCTCGAACCTTTATCCTTGTTTTATACACTTGAAAAATTTCCTGTGATATACACGTAAGATTTTTGAATGTTTGTAAAATCTTTGGAATTAGCTCAATGTATAATAATAATAATAATAATAATAATAATACAATTGCATTGTTTCATTTTATTTTACTCTATTCTCGTGGATGGAGCTTGGACATAATTTAAATATTTGCGCACGATTAAAAACGGGAAGGAAAAAACAAAAAATAAAATAAAATAAAATAAAATAAAGGGACCCATGTTAATAATAAAACGCGTAATGTGATATATTTTTTTCAATATTTATGCGACAATATAATCAAGCCATTGCTTAAATTACCTTAAATAATTCTTACATTTAAACACAGTTGTTGCAAGGCTATGCGTTAAAAAAAGAAGAGAAGAAGAAGAAGAAGAAAAAAGAAAAAAGAAAAAGAAAGAAAGAAACTACTCGAATTAATTTTTCAATTCGCATTTGGTTATCCCATTATTTGAAATTAATATTTCATTCGAAGAGAATGCTTCTCCGTTTCTTTTTCTTCGAATAATGATGAATAATTTGATCGACAACGAATCATCATATACAAACGCTTACGAACGCGTGTCCTCTTTATTGCTTAACTCTTCATCGCCGTAAAACAATGAATATTTTTCTTTGAATTATGAATTATTGGTGAAACGCTGGTCGATCGATTATAGCTAAAGAAACTTAAAAGCTCGTGAACTTATATTTCCTTCCATTAGGAGCAACAGTCGCGAGAGCCCCATTAATCACAATAACGGCAAAGTAAAAGACCGGCGCAGCATCCATCTGTCGAAAGACACTTAACGTATAAATGCATCTAGACGGCGGCTTCCTGCAGTTAATAATGACATTGGCGGAGCTGTCAATGTTGCCGTTATAATGATTCGTGAGCTCGTGAACAGCAGTTGGTTGTACTTAGCTGGGCCTAATGCGCAAACGTTACACTACGACACTGAGAGCATTGGTTACCGGTTATTAATCCTGAAACAATAGCAACGGCAAGTGTTACGGCCAGGGCCAATAATTGATATGCGGCTTGCTGTCCAGCACTGCGGTTCCACCCAGGTTTCAGTGAGAGCCGGTAATTCTCATTTATTTCCGTGAGATTAGGACCTAAGCCTGGAATTCTGGCTGGAAATATCTGCAGGAACATAAGTCGTCTAATGTGTTAATGGACGGTATAAGCCCGGGAATGTAGGCACGCGACGATTACTTTCATTTATCATTATAAAATCATTTCACATAGACTATGCATATTATCTCAAAATACTACTTTCCATTATACACGGCTTTTCCTTCTATCTTCTTCTACGATAATTACAATATAACGCTCGCAAGTTATTATAAATTCAAGAGAAGAAGAAGAAAAAAAAAAAAAAAAAAAAAAAATGTTAGTGAAATGTTGCCGATGCTTTGCTTTAGAGATCGGATAGTCGTTGGTAGAATTTCGGAAAAATCAATTAGTTGTTAAACAAGGTGTTACAAAAACAAAGAACATGACAATCGTTAATTTAAAATTATCAGTTAACTTTTAACATCGGCACATTTTTTTTATCTCTCGTCAATTTTTAATTCCAAATGACTACTTTGCATTTAAATTTGTAAAAATATTTATACCGATAAATATAACTTTTCCTTTCGCTTTACTTCAAACACGCAGATTCGAATGCCTATAAATCCATGTAATTTTAAAGCCTACAAGTATTTGAGAATGCACAATACTTACAAACGTTTTCTCTTATCGACTATTCAAATAGTCAGGAATTATCGACTTATAGATATTTCACTTTTGGACAGTGATCGTGAAAAATTATTTTTTGAATTATTTTCTAACAATGCTTAACACGCGCGCGCATGATTAAATGATATTCCATATGGTCGTATCATGAGAATTTATAAATTTTAACGTAATAATTTATATTACAATATGATAGAATTTGTTGCATTTTCTCATAATACACTCGCTGAATTATATATTTGGCATAATAATTTAAAACTTTTTTTCGAAATAAATTTATTTATCAAGACCATATTCAATGCAATATTATTCATAATCTTCTCTTTTAATTTCCTCCTCCTCTCTCCCCCCCCCCCCCCCCCCCCCCCCCCCCCCCTCCACCCTCCTTCTTCAAATCCTTAAAACATCAGAGTGAATTATATACATAATAAATATTATTGATAAACAGTTATTTAATAATAGACGAATTTTATATTTTTTATTACCCAAAAGATCACAAATTCACTATGAATTTTATACAATCACAATGAATTATATCAAAAGAGAATAAACGAGATTGAATAATATAACATTTATTGTTCATAAATTTTATTTAAAAATTACTTATTTAAGAAAACGAATTTTGAATTTTTAAAATAATATGCCTTAAGCAATAAAAAAATTTATATAAGAAACAATTGTATTATTTCAAATGCAAATTTAATGTAATTTAAATTTACTCAAAATTTCTTTTATGAGTTTATGATTTAACTAGAATTTTCTTTTTAATTCACATAATAACAAAGAAAAAAAAAAAAAGAAACAGAATATTTAAATTATTCTAATGTTTAAATTACTATACAATATAATCATAATTTCAAATACTTAGTAAATTATTGTTGTTAATTAATGTTGATCTTACGATATTACGTTACTACGATAATACGATAGATTAATTTTATAATACCACTAAAGTTTTAATAATTAACAATTTTCCATTACATATTCCTAATAATTATGAAATACATAATACTTCTTTCTATATGACGTATAATTTATTTATTTTATAATATATTGTTATCTTTACGATTGTATCCATAATTTTAAAGTTTATTTCATATGTATATATGATAATTTTAATATTTATTGCATTCTTATAATACAAACCAATTATATTGAATTATATAATCTTAGATGAATATTAATTAGATGATTTGAAAAAACTTTGAATGCTTATTATATAATATCGTAAGTAACATACCGAAGTAATTCTTATTTAATGAATAATTTTTTTTTTTTTTTTTTTTTTTTTTTTTTTTTTTGTCAATTCACATTGTCAACCACACACACAGACACACAAATGTCACATCAGCGTCATTACTTCATCATTACCTCGTAGAGAGAATCATTGTAATCAGCTTCGGTGGCTAAACCGGCAAAAAGAGCACCAAAAAGACCAGCTAAAATGGCTGGCATTCCATGTAAATTATGAATTCCACAGGTGTCATGTATTCTAAGATGTTTTTGAATTAACGGCTAGAAATATAAATATTTTAATTGTGACATCGGCCAATAATCGATAAATATCTTTATTAGGAGTTGAATTGAAAATTTGAAAATTGATAAACCATTTGTTGGAAGCGTGAAAAATGAAAATAATAGCTGAAAATGTGTTATTGCCGTTGATTATATCGGCAATTCTTTCTTTCTTTAATTGAAATTCTGTAAAAATTCTGTTTCATTTTCATACAAAAGAAACTATTGACTATCTATCAGATTCTCGAATACTTATTTTATGTAAATAGAGGGAGGGGTAAGGGGGAAGGGGGAATGGGGGAGGGGGAGGGGGGGGGAATCAAGAAATTATGTGAGTGTAAATGTTTTTAATAAACAATTCGATAAATTCTAATTCATCCCTTAGTGTCTTTTACTTAAACCACAAATTACTTATGCTTTACGTCATAGTTTTTAAAATTTTATCATATAAAACTTTATAAACTTTTTCGTTCGTTAATAATTGTTGTTGATTTTTTTTTTTTTTACTATGAAATCTATTAGATTCGTATTATGTACGTTGTACATAAGATGTATTTTAGGAATATATTATTCTACTTTTTTTTTTAAAAAATAAATAGAGCTTGAATTATAATTTTTATTTATGCGGAAAAATGATTCTTCTACAAGTGTTTGAATAGTTTAAGTATTACCGATAACTTTACAGTTTGAAAGTTTATAGATAAATTATACAGCAATGATAGGAGCGAGTAATCAAAGTTTTTTACTACTTTATAAAACTTATTCATATTACAAGGAATAAAGTTATAATAATGTCATAATAAAAGAAACAGCTTTAACCATTAATGTTAATATTAAATAAAATAAATTAAAAGAGATCGTCGAGCTCTTCTATAAAAGCAATTACTAGTAAGTCCTCAAGTTTTAATAATATATTCTTCAATATACAGAAAAGAATAATGAAAAGAAAACAAATTATTACAAAGATAAGATATAATTGAGCGTTGAGGATGTTTAGTAATAAGGATAATTAATTCAGCTAATATGTCGACTAAAAATCTACGAAATTAAATAAGATAAAATAGAGTAGTAAGTTGGATTGTTGTAATGTATGTCAGTTATAAACGTCAATGGAAAAAAGCTTTTTGTTAATTTTATTAATTCACCGTCGCATGAAATGTCATATGACCATCATTACTTAATGAGTAAGTCATCTTCAAAAATTAATAATTCAATGATCGTTCGATATATGAATGATACGATTTATCGCTATCAACGATAAATAAAGAGACGATATCGATCCTCGTCAATTTCTCTTCTCATCTCACTTAAGATCTAACTTGAATTATAAATGTAAATTAACAATGTAATATAACACAGTGGCAATCAAAATAATTATGTTAAGTTATTTAATAATTTTTATAATCAATAATAACTAAATTACATTATTCTAATTCCAATAAGGAATTCTATAAAATGTAATTTTTACGTAAAAGTATGGTAGGAACGAGAACTTGTAATACACGATGACTGTCATTACAGTTATAGGCTTAAGCAATTTTTAAAAATCTATCCATCTATCTATGAAATATTAATTAATGAATTTTTCTACTTATTTATATAAAACACAAGGTAATTTCTATTGAAAAATATTTGTATATTTACGACATTCGATCATAAAAATCATCTTCGACGCTGCAACTTCTACAAATTAAAATTATTAAATTAGCCGCATTTTGTTCTAATATTAAAGTACGATTTCTACATTATTTTGGATATTATAAAATTTTAATTATCAGGCTGTTTATAGAATAGCGCATGTGCAAAATAGTTTACCGTTAGATATTTGTAGCCAAGAACACTGATCATACCAGCTGCGCTGCCTATCATTAGAGATCCTACAGGTTCACACATCATTCCTGCAAAAGTGAATTGAACGAAGATGAAGAAATTACAATAACAATTTAATATCAGCATAGCGTCATAGCGTTATAATTAAGATGTTATAATCCGCACATGACATTATGAAAGTGTTTATTTAAAGGTAAATATAAATTTAAATGATTTTGTTGTAAAGTTCGAGTGATTGAAAAATAATAAAAATCATTGTTAAATCGTGTATTTTAAGGATATTTAATTAGTACGTATTTAATTATAACTCGATAAACCTTTCAGATCTTTACTTATAATTCGATGATAAAATCACTCGAAATAGCTTCGATTTCATGTCATTCTATTTATTATTCACAGCAGTGATAAGTCTATCGATTGATTGAAATAATAATTCAATATGTAATCATGAAATCAATGTATAATATATAATATTCAAATGGGAAATAATGTTTTATTAAAGTTTTCTTTACTTTTAAACCGAATGATTTTGTAAATATAAAGTTTGCCTTGTTAATAAAAATAATTTTGAAAGATAACCACTCAACGTGCATATTTATTAAATAAACGACGGTTCCTGTCCTCTAGCGACTTTAACATTTTGCATTTTGATGTAATCATTTCGACGTAATGCAACTTATTCTCAATTATTGTAAGCGCGCGTATCTGTGCGCGTGGCGCAAAGGAACACATATATACGCCCATATATGAGAATCTTTATTACATTAAGTAGTTATTGTTTATCGTTATAATGGGACATTCTCATAATATAGAATAGATAATATCATAATGGGATATTCTCATAATCGATAAAATACCGGCATAACTTAGAACGAAAATGCTACCACCAACAAAGTAAACATTTGTTATGTAATTGAAAAAAATTGATATTATTATTTATTAGGAATTACGTAGGTCCAATGGATTTGATATACAAAGCCGTGCTTTTTCGTCATAATTCTTATTCTTACGTAGACAATTACTTTTCATTATTTCACATTAATTCTTATATTTTTAATACGTAAAAGTGTAAATTGTTAATTATTTTTTTTTTTCTTTTTACTTTTTTTTACTTTTTGTAAATAAAATATTAATGTTAATGTATTATTATTATGAAAAACTTTCGAATGTAATTTCCTTTTTAACAAACTTGATTAACAAACTTGACGCATAATTTTAAGCGTCATAAAACAGCCCTTTATTTAGCAGTTTTTATAACAATGCTGCATTCAACATTCAAAGCAATGTATGCGTTACGATATTAATTAATGAAGAAACAAATATAATAGGAATATGTAAAATATTCTTTAAAACAATACTTTTAATTGCGAATGAAAAGAAATTTTCTATAATTTTAGAATTAATAATCTAGGAAATTAATTATTTTCGATCGAGGTGTATTATTAAATATTATTTTCATAAAAATTATAGTATTCATCGGGATAAATGCCTTTATTATATAATAAATCTTATAATCTTATTTACCTGCCGCTGTTCCAATAGCAACGCCGCCTGCTAAAGTCGAATTTTGCACGTGAACCATGTTAAATTTGCTCTGTTTGGAAACGAAAGCAGAAACGGCAAATGAAACGACGCAGCTTCCCGCTATAGATAATAAAGTATTGATGATTGCTCGATGCTGTTCATCACCCTTTAAAGCTGCGCTATTAAACGATGGCCAGAATAACCAGAGAAATAATGTACCTGATTAACATAAGTAAATTATTTAATATCTCAATGACGTCAATAAAAATCTGAACAGAGACAAATGGCTTATGAGGATGTTTAATAATTACGAGAAATAATCATATTATCTGCAACTATTATTATTATTATTATTATTATTATTATTATTAAATTATAAATATTTTACTTCGATAGAATAATATTATTACAGCGATTTATTCAATTTTTTTTTATCTTTTTATTTCTATTCATTAAATACCTCTTAAACCAATCAATACCTTTATCGAGTGATAACTTATATATATATATATATATATATATATATATATATATATATATATATATATATATATTTTTTTTATTTTATATTGTACGAGGTATTATATTTTTGAAATTTGACAAAATCAAATATCTTGTCTCGTCTGTTACTTACCAACCATTGCGAAAATATCAGAATTATAGGAAGATCCTTCCAGACTATTTTCCTTTGGTTTTTCTTTCATCCCAAACATAAAACTCACTGCTAATCCAAAATAAGCACCAAAAGCATGAACGTACATACTGTCTCCAGCATCAACAGCCTGAATAAAATATTATAAACATGTAGATATTTATCAGTAGTTCGTTTAATCATTGATGTAAATAATAATATTTAAAGTATGAATGGTTAAATTTTTAATAAACACAAGTCGTTAGATAAAATACGTAATTTTACAAATACTATTTAACATCAATTGCATTTTTGGAAAGTACAATATTATTATTTATAGGCATATTATTTTACTGCACATATTATTGAAGTTTAAATAATCACTAATTTTTGTTAATTTAATCTTAAATACTACATTATAAAATATAATTATAATACTAATAAATATACCACAATTTGTCGATTAATAATGCAATTACAATATTATTTATAGTAGTAGAGAAGAGAGAGAAAGCTGTGTGCTTTCCGAATTGAGACGCATTTTTCTCAAACTCAATTGTTAAATTTAATTTCAATTTGTTAAAAATCAAAGCAACAACTTTCAGTATGATTATATACTCTTATTATATAGTATGTTTATATTTTTATTGTAAATATAGCTATTATTTATTCAAAAATATTTTTTCAATGTTAAAGTGTCGACAAATTTAATAGAAATGTGTATTTTTTTGTTTTTTGTTTTTTTGTTTTTGTTTTTGTTTTTGTTTTTTTTTTATTTATTTAAATTATCCGGAATTTTGTACATTTTAAAACTTGAATTTTTTTCGTTAATATACTTAATGGACGAATTATATATTCTTTTATATTAAATGAAATTTCATTAAACCTTTAGTTTCGAAAAATATGGTAATCTATATTACTAAATATCGTTTGATTAATTAATTATTAAAAGCAAATTTTAACATTTAATTTAATATTAAGTTTAACGTGTAATTCTATTTGCAGCTAACAATGATTAATAATGACATGAAAATGTTAAAATGCATCATTATTTAATAATTTGTGATATTATATAGAAATATTAGATAAGCTTTATAATGCATAAACTATAATATATAGTTTAATATTATGTATTGCAGATGTTTTTAAATATTTATAAATAATTCTAAACAAGTCGTATTAAGTTTAATTATATTTTGCACGATCATATGCAAAAAATGTCATCATTATACAAATGTAATAAAGCAATTAAATAAAATAATTGATATTTATAAAAAGTTTGTGAATGTTAAAAAAAAAACGAATTGTTAATGGCAAATGAACTACACACGCGCGCGCGAGCTTATATATATATATATATATATATATATATATATATATTTATTTATTTATTTATTTAAATTTAAACTTATACCGTGTATATTTATGTACTCATTTGTATACATATATATTAGAAAGGGATAGTAAGGAAAAATATAGAATTCGGATTTTAGAAGAAATTTATTGGTATGATAGTCAGAATGTTATTGGTATAGCTGTGGCTTCAGCTTGAAAGAAAATAATGAATTTAAAATACATGAAAATTTAGTGGAAAAAGTATTTCTGAAATTCTCATGAACAAGTGGACTGCTGATATTGAGAAGAAAAAATGCCTCGACCGCTATAAAATAACACGAATACCTCTATGTTATATTGTATACTTGAAACTCCATTATTAAAAGCATTACAGATGCTAATTAGACGTTAAATGGGAAAAGTGAGTATTGTGGCTTCGTCAAAAAATAATAATTAGGTAATCGAGTCAAGCATCAAAGAGCCATGGTATTACGTACAATTGTCTTTGCCTTTCAGTTGAGAGCCAACAAATAAATAGGTCATAAATACAAAAATCAAATATAATTTAAGCATCATTTAATTATCATAATTAGATTATTAATCATTTCGTAATAATTTGTGATGGTAATAAATATTATTTGTAAGCTAATTATTGGCAATAAGATTAGCGGCTCTAAATGGAGGGAATATAATGAAATTAGAATGTAACACGGCGACATTCAATTACCTTAATAATAATTATAAATTTACACTTATACCGTGTCGATTATTTATTCATTCGTTTAAAACTCGACATTGCCGGAACATAAAAAATTCAATCAATTCAGACAATTATTTTAATATGATAATTAAAAGATTACGCGATGGTAATTAAATTAAATATCAATGGATTTTTGGCATTTGTTGGATAATCGATGATGCTCTACCACGAAATGGTGCTCTCCGATGTACTTGTTGATAGTGTACACAATCAGCTCTATTACGCCCATGATGATTAGCTGGATGTACGTTGTTTTGCCCAGTAGTGCACCCATCGATATTAAAGGGGCAGCAACGGCCACGTCTGCGCTTAGTAGTCTAGAAAGAGAAGGAGAACGTGCGAGTGAGTGAGTTGGAAGGATAGAACGAGATTGATAGATAGATAGATAGAGATAGATAGAGATAGATAGAGATAGATAGATAGAGAGATAGATAGAGAGATAGAGATAGATAGAGACAGATAGATAGAGATAGAGATAGAGATAGAGAGAGAGAGAGAGGTTGAAGTGAAAAGGACCGAGCTGCGAAGGCTCGAAGGCTCGAAGGTTCGGACAACTTACATGGGGTTGTATTAATTATCGCGGCTCTCCTCGTTCGCTTGGGAAGAGGACTTTTTCATTTGATAACCAATTGATAATAAAAGCTAATGCATATAAATGACATTTAAATTCTATTATCATCAAGTTGATAATTGTATATTAAAATTTTGCCAGATAAAATATCTAATGGAATTTATGTAATCTCAATGTTGATATATCTGACTGATAAGGGCGTTCAAAGGGAATTTATTTAGGAGAATCTATGGTGAATAAAGTCTTACCAAGACATAATATTATTAGCTATGAGATTGAGAGCCCTAAAAAAAATAATGTATTTAAAATTCCTAAATGCTTAATATAATAAGAAATCAATTATTTTCTTTTCTTTTTTACTACATTAATACTAATGACTTCGGCTGAAATTGGACGAATTAAAAAATTACTTTTAATTTAAATTTCTATTGATATAAATTTTTAATGCAAAATAGATTTCTAATTAATTTTTTTTTTTTTTTTTTTTTTTTTTTTTTTTTTTTTATCGATTAAACTTATTAATTACGCCGAGTTGATCATATCATAATAAGTAAGTATCAATTTCTCATTGGGAAGTAAGATAATTTGACATGAATAACACGGGCGTAAAATTATAAATAATTATCATTATTATCGTATTTAAACTGTTATTAATAAATTAAAATTTGCAGATTTGCATTTTAACTTGTAACGTGTTTTAACGCATTTTAACTTTTAACTTGTAATTAATAATTTGTAATATTGAATAAAGATGTATTGTTTTCACTGCATAAGTTAAAGAGATTTTCGTGTAGTTTCAATTTGAAAAGATCGAAGTTAAACGCTAGGGATAAAAGTACGACTGAGAAGTTGTAAAATTAACAAATTCCCTGCAGCAAGACATTTTTCCTGGGGCCATTTGAAGTGAAAATGGACTTAAAATTAAGAGTTGTTTCATACGAACTGTGAACGGTCGCTCTGTCAAATTTTGTCAGAAATTTGGTATGTAACGCGACAGTGGCAGCAACGTCGCTAAATTGGCCTCATAAAGAGAGACACTCATTCGCGAATATGCGGTCACATCATTGCATTGGCTATCCCATGCTACTAAGTGAGAAAGATTCGCCTTTATGACTGGCCGTCAAATTCTCTGCCGAGGCTGCTATGTCGTGACTGAATTTTATATTAGCCTCCCCCCCACCAACCCCCCAACCCCCCTCAACCCCACCTCCATCACCATCACCATCCCCATCACCATCACCATCACCATCCCCATCACCATCATACCGAGCTACCGCGCTTTCGTGCAATTGACTGGTTGCGTGGATTTGCGCGACAATTGCCTCGATGCACGCGCGGGCTTCTTCAACCGTTTCGAGTAATTGTGATCTTTAACACATTAACGCCAGTCGACGAGCTTTCGTGCCACGTGAAATATAATAATATCGCTCGGTGTAATTGCACTTTACGAAAACGTAACGTTTCTTTTAAACCGAGACCCCTTTAGTTTTATTTGAAGAGAAAGAATGAAAGAAAGATTGAAAGATTGAAAGATTGAAAGAAAGAAAGAAAGCTAACATTGATAATGTAAGATAATAAATACGCTGTTTGAAGTATTAAGCTAATATTTAGAGACTCTCCACAATATCAAATCTATTGATTATTTGCTTTTTAATAATAGCCCCTTACCAATTTCAATTTTACCCTCGTTTCGTTTCGTTTAACTAATTATTCGCCGGATAAAAGAATGATAAAGTCTCTCTCTTCCATACTGCACACTCATAATGAAAATCTTATATGATTTTGTCATTAAGTGATAATAGCCACCGAGCGAGGTAAACATATCTCAGCAATCGTTTACATAGAGAAAAACTTATTTGAAATTTTTAATATTCGACGGGGCTGTTTGTGCATCAATTAAGCTGCGTATCCCCGAGTTCGAGGGCTTTTAAGCTTTTTCACGAATTCGTTATATACTCGCAATTTGTTATATACAATCGTATTTCCACGCGCCCATGCACGTTCGTCCTTGAGGATTTTCGTGTTTTTACATTCGGTCTTCTGGGCTCACCGTGTTTTCACGCGCCGATGCACCTAAATCTCCATCACCAATACTATCGCCGTCATGTACGCGCCATTGCTGTCTTCGTAGCACGGAATTGTGAACGGTAATTGTGGAGAAAAAAAAAACGCGTAAAAAGGTATTAGCGTTCTGTAAACGCTGAAACACTCTGCGCTCGTACCTGTTGACGATGTATTGTTGTAATAAGTGTGTTGATACTCTAAATGGCCGATAAGCTGATTATGTATTATGAATGGACGACAGCGTCGAAATCAGGGCCTTTAATGTGGGACTGCAGGTGTCAATGATGAATTAATCAACTGATTATTGTAATACATCGAATGGGTCACATTAAACGAAGCATAATCGTCATAAATTATCATTAACATTCGATTTATACATGGGAATGAGTATATGCAACTCCATGGGAAATACTACTATCGCCCAATATACGTTCTTATTTGCAAGTAATAATAATAATAATAATAATAAAAAATAAAAAAAAAAAATATATATAGAGAGAGAGAGATCGAGAGAGAGATGAAGTATTATTATACAAGTAAAATTTAGGGTATTAGTATGATGCAAACACATGATAATCCTTTTAGACGCTGAGATTTTAATGAGCCTTATCCATCAATTCATTTTCTATAAAACAAACCTAAGTTTCTTAAAATTATGTGATACGATAGTGCGATGACTGATGTGGAACTCTGATAAAATATTAATAAATTTTTTGGAAAATAAGGCGCAACTTTTTTTTTTTTTTTTTTTTTTTTTTTATACAAAAAAAAAAAAAAACATAAAAGTAGTTGTAAATTTAAGATCGATTGTTCTAATAGTGAAATTTGCTTTTTAGTTATGACTATATAGCTTCACGTTATTTTTATTTTTGTTTTCTTGAGTTCCGTTTTCTCGTTTTGGTATTATCATTAAACGTATCTATCATTATTTAATTTCAACAACTATTTTCTTAATAAGCCGTTACAATTTTCTTGACATTTCTTCACTTACTAACAATGTTTCATATAAATTTGCTAAATACATAAATTGTGTATTATTAATTTTTATTTGTTAAAAATATTTTTACATGTTATCATAAGAATAATAATAGCAGCAGCTTTTCATAAAAATGAATGGACAGTAGTTTTATTTTTAAACTTTTAAATTATAATTAATTTTAATTTAGATTACATTATTGTAGAATTATTGTAGCGAAATGTTTCTGCTCGGCTTTTCTCTTGGCAACAAATGCTTTTCCGCTTTCCCTTTCTTTAGCAGGGGTAACTGGTCGACGGTTCCGGGCTCGAAAAATTAAATAAACGACTTCCGTATTTTGTTTTAAAACTCGGTGATTTATTTCCGCTATTCTTACAGATAGTATTGTTATGTATGCATTACAGTGCAATTTTCTAAAAGAAATTCAACATATTTTTCGTTTATGAAATAACAATTAGAATTGAATGTAAATTGCCCTAATGTAAAACGGTCGTATTTTTTATTATAGATAATTTACTAAAATAGTTATTATAAGATGCGAGGACGTCGAACGACTTGTTGAAAAAGGCTCGAAAGAAAAAGAAGAAAAATCTGGGAAAAGGAGTAGTTAGTGTAAGAGAGCAATAGATGTTTAGCTCATTAGATAATGTAGTTGCACGTGTTCGAAGAGGTTGTTCTCTCTCTCTCTCTCTCTCTCTCTCTCTCTCTGTGTGTGCGCGCGTGCGTGTGTGCGTGTGGGTTTGCGCGCGCCCACGTGCACATGTGTACGAATGAATGAGAGGAAGAAGATCTTCAGTCTCTCGAGCAGCTAATGTAGTTAAAACATCAGTTGAAAATGGATAATGGAGAGGAAAAGTAGTTTTAAGTAGCCGCTTTTGAGGTAAAATCCTAATCGGTCGGATATTCGGAAACGATCGACTTCAATTCAATGCACCGGATATCTATATATATATATATATATATATATATATATATATACACGAGCGCACACATGTAAACACAAGTTTGGAAGCGATCGTTTGGTGAGTGGCCGCACATTTGCCTTGTACTTGCACCACATCGCGGTATTGGTGATAATTTTGACGACAATCGATCGCCTTTCACTTCACAAACAATTAAGTACAAATTGCGGAGAAATACATAAATGCCTAAGTATTCGATAATAATAAATAGCTTTTATTTAGAGCACTAAATGGCAATGTCAATTAATACAAATTCATATTGCTTACTTTCTTGCTTGTTGCAATAAAATGCTGCTGCAGCACTTTCTACAAACGAGCATCAAAGTTACGTTATTAATACAACGAAGAACATGCGAATGCGACTATCAGTGTGGTATCGGTGCGGATTTTCGCCAATGCAGGAATTCAGTGTGACAAATCACGGAATATGTTGTAACTTTGTACAAAACTGCCTTCGAGTGAACACTTCTCGGTATTTCGTTTGCTTTTTATTCTTTTTATTCTTTTTTTTTTTTATTTTTATTTTTATTTTTTTTTTTTTTTTTTTTTTGCTTCGTATGTAAGTGTAAGCCGTAATTGTTTCCATCGACATACGGCATATCTGTAGTTTTACATTTTTCTTTTCGTTTGACGGGATAGTGAAGCAAAATCTATCGATTCTCCGGACGAGATCATGAAGTTTAGCATACCTCGTTAAGCTCTATCCTTTTTCTCTTTCCACTCGTCGACTTCGTGTGACGTCGAGTGTCACGGAGGCCATTTAACGTGTCTCTGTTGTCGATGCGCTTTTGCCTTCCTAATCCATTTCCTCCCCACTTTAAAATCATTTCCTTTTCTTTCTTCCCTGTCAAATGGATGACACTGTGCTTTATGTATTCACCGAACTTTGTAACCGACTACGAGATAACCCGATATCACATGGAGCTCGAGAATACCTCGCACGTTTCCTATTAATTTACTTTCCAACAAAGTAAAAAATTATACGATTTTTCTTTTTTTTTTTTTTTTTCTTTTTTTTTTTATGGAATTTAATATTTTGACTGTGTTTGCACAGCTTAAGGGCGCCACAATTTTATTATGAATAAATGCGGAAAAATATTTTAATATCACTGAAAGCACGAAGGTTTGAATTATTAAAAGAAAAATGTAGCGAATAATTTTTTAATTAGTTTGCCTCGTGAAAGACCGAAGTTTATAAAGTTTATCCTGTGTGAGCTCAAATGAAGCTTCGCTTTAAAAATTATTATATTCATTGCTAATTAGTAATGAAGTCGAGGCTTGCGCGACACGCGATATAACTTGCTCTGTTAGCTGTTAATGAGCATTGCGATTCCTTACCATTGCCGACAACCAAATAACCCTAATTTGCCGTTAATGTTTCATACATTTAACCGCACGAGGCATTTGATTTAACTAAATTATTTCGCAGATTCCATTTCTATTACGATTGCAAACATTACTTTATCGAATGACAACGTCGTGGTCGTGCTCGGTCTAATTAATCAATTGAGCTTATCATTACAGTCCCTTGATTAAAAAGACTTACGATTCAAGTGACAATGGCGCCTTTCCGTTTTTCTCGATATTGAAAACACCTTCGCATAACATGGCTACCTGCACGAGTATCGCCCCAACCAAAAAAGTAAGCCCAACGGCGCTTTGTCCGTACTTTCTTAGAAATGTCATTAGAAAGCCAAAGCCAATCCATATCATTACATGGATGTCCTGGTACACTGAAATAAAGAAATTTAATTTGTCAGAAGTTCGAGGATCATGTAAAAGTTTATATATTCGTGTCAAGCGATAGAACGAATATATCAATATTTCAATATTTCAATTAAAATAGTTTTAATTAATTTACGATTTATAGAAAAATGTTAATCGTATTGTTGATTAGGATTATTAGGAATGATTATGAACAATTTATTATTTTATACAAATTTAATATAAATAAATGTTTAATTTCAATCGTTGATTTATAATCGGAATTTTGTATCCTAAATTTATATCTTAAATTATTTCACTTCACTCGATATGCTCCTTGACTTGTCAGTTTATTTAACTAAACCATCAGTCGGATTCACATAAAGTTTAAATGTATGTTTATGAATTGAAAGCTTGATCGATAATTTTATTACAAATGCCATTCCGTTGAAATGGAATTGAGAAATAAATAATGCTTGGAAGTTTCTATCAAATATCTGTTGACGTCATTACAACGAACTTCACCATATCATATGACGTTTTGTGGCATAGGATGTCGATGAATATCTTGGAAGTACGATCAAGAATTTAGAAGAACTTGTCTCAGATTTCAAGGATGCTAACTCGATATTTCAGAAAGTTTATAGTCGTGCGGTTATATTCAAATGTAATGCGCATCTCAGCAACATAACCAAAATAGTTTTGGCGCTTGAGTTGCCAAAGTTATGGAGTGTCCGGGTACTGCCTGAGATGCCCAGATTCGACAAACTTTTTTTTAGATTTGACCATTAAGTTGAAATAATAATTAATATTGAAGAAAAACAGTCTCTTAATACAATTAATAATTGATTTAAAAGCAAATTATATTTAGATAAAATTATGCTATTGTGACTTACAATTTTACCGAGCCAATATTTTATTATTAGATATTTCATTCTTCATTTTCTTTACATTCGAAATTTTACTTAAACCAAGGCATTAGATTTTCACATTTTTCAATAAATGTTTTTATATTTAGCTAATTATTTAGTTATAACTTTATCCGATGAATACAAATGCGGTTTACATTAATATTTGATTATTTATTATAAAAATTATTTATTAGTAAGTAAAAATATGAATACTTAAATAATTCAATTGTTTTCATTTGTTTCAATTGTTTATAATTTGATATAGACGCGTATCAAAACGTTTTTATAATTATAATTTTTTTTAATTTTACTTTAACAATTATGTTTTATTCATATTATTTTTATACAATATATTCTCGTGTCAAATTATTTTAAAGATAAAATATGATGATTTTTAGTTTTAATATTATTTGGATCAGTCTCTTACTGATATACATTACCTAACAAGTTTGCATATAGTTTTTCAAAATTTGTAATAACATAAGACTTAACACACACATAATAGATAATTGTTTAATAAAATAAAGACTTTAAAGCTTTTAGGCTGTATATTACACTTTTTGTTTTTGCTTTTATACACAATATAATATATATATATATATATATACATATAATGTTTAAATTAGATACAAGTAAGAATTTATAGACAATATTTTATTTTGTACAATTTGTCTTTTCTTTCTCTTTTTATTTATCAATTTCTCTTACACACAATTCGGTTTATGTTTTTTTTTTTTTTTTTCACAATATGATAGTAGAGGGAAAAGACTTACGTGCGAACGTGATCCCATTCACATGTGGCTTGGAATAATCGAAAATCGCTAAAATACCACAAAGTAAAAAGCCCTCAATGAATAATAAGCTTATCGCGTGCGCAAGTCGACTCGTAACATTCATTTTCTCAACTTTCTTTTCCGGTTATTCTTTTTCAAAAAGTATTGCAACTAAATAAATACTTTTTATTTCTCTCGACTCGTAGATCACATGTCCAAATGTAAGGAGCTAAACAGTATATGAAATACTGAAAATCTTTATTATACTGCTCGACTAGGTATCTAATATTTCTGCGTTAAATGCGTAACGAGTTGATTAGCATTTTTTCAAAAGTGTGTTAATGCCCTATGACTTTGCAGAACAAAATTAGATATTTGCAATTCTTTTATTTGCATTTGAAACATAGAAGAATAGCAGCTGGCTTTTAATAAAAATACAAAGTTTTAAGTTATTTTTATTTTGTATCTCATAACGGCTTTAAAGTTTTATTTATAAAAACATCATTTTGTACAATGATTGCACAGAACAAGATAAAAACTCTATTTGTGTAAAATCCTATGAAAAATATGTGCTACAAAGCTTATAAAAATAGAAAAAATTAATTCTGATATAAAATAAAGTTAAGCAAAAAATAAAAAAAAAAAAAAAAAAAACCATACTAATTGTAAGAAGATTAAATAAACTTTTAAAACTCTTAAAAATATATATTCCGTTATTAATGTTATATATAACAATAATAGCAATAGTGTTTGATAATTTTATCTGATTTAATGATATTATAAGAAAGTCAATGTTACTTATTCTATTGGAGATACACTATATTTACACTTTAAATATACAATAAAAAAAAGAATCTTTAATTTCTTATGAATTATATTCATCTGATCACATACAAAATCCTTTTTTTATTTAAGATGATTTTTTTCATGTAACTATCGCAATATAGAATGTGCTCCTATGAAACAAGTAAATTTCTTTTTGATAAAAGTCGAATTTCCTTCCTCCTAATCACATATATACCATACTATTATAAGACGTGTACGTAGATATTATTGAATTTATATGATCGTAAGTTGTGTCGATGGTAGCGATAACATAAAATCATTATGTATTAAATTATTCCTATTTTCGCATAAGGTATATGCTTATATTCGATATCATCGAGGTATATTTAATCGACGTATTATATATCATATCAAGACGTGTAAGTGTATGTATGAAATTACAAAACGTTTTTCCCTAATCTCGGAAAGCGAATCGTCATCGTTACTTTAAATAAAGATTGCGAGAAATAATGCGAATGCTCGATAAGGATTTCAACGATAATTCGATCACATCTGTGGATGACAACGGAAATGAGAGAAAAATCAAGAATTGATGTGGAGAGTCGAGCAAGGCTATCGTCTGCAGATACAGAAGCCTTTGTTCGAAAAATTCCAAGCAAGTACTATCATCTTTTAAGGGTACTTGGTATGTAAAATTATAATGCCGTAGTATTGCGATATGTGTAACGACGAAGCATTTTAAAATTTCTTTAAAATAATTTAACAATTTCGTGACAAGTTATTTGACACCCCATTCATGGGGTACATTTAAAGCAATCAAGATTTTAACTTTTCCTATAAATTTGTTGTACAAGAACTTGTGCAATTTGATAGGCGTGAAAATATAATCATAAGTGTCATAAGAACTTTATTTGAAAAATATTAAATTAATGTGCCAGTATTATTAAATTTTATCAAACTTGTGTTCCCATCCTAATGTAAAATCGTGAAAAATATTAAGTCCTACTAATAACTACAATTACAGTTTTTCTTATAATTAATTAACGATAAATAAAATGTAATAATGATCGTATAAAATGACGACTACATGTGTGATTAACAATTTTATCATACCTATCACGTAATTATAGTAATTATTCTTATAATTAATGAATTATATTTGCAAGTGCTTAAATTATGTTGTATAAAAATCTAAATATTGTTTTTAAAGTTTAAAAATTTATTAAGCCATAGAGATTGAGAAAGTTTTCTATTCTAGATAATTAATTTTATCGTCCGATTAATAAGTTAAAGTTTTCACCTTTTCTCGTTTATGTCCACAAGTAGGTAAGTTAAGAAAATTAAATAATATAATAATTGTTCAAAATTGACAAAATATAATAGTTGATGCCCAAAAACAGTTTCACATTGAAACTAAATTATTGAAAATTACATTTAATGAAAACTAAATATCAATGATATTATTATTCCACGCGCATTTCACTTTAATTATTTACAAGTTTCGTATAATTAAAAATATCAAATAATAGAACAAGGATTTATTAAATTTTAATATAAATCCAAGAAATATTTTAGATCGTATTGCGAGAATATTTTAATTTATAGAAGATAATTCAGCGATTATGCAACTTCATGATATTATTTTGTAAATTTCAAGAATTTTATATATACAGATAGAAAAATAATAGGAATTTATTACTTACTTGGATAGATACGAGATAAATCATCCGCATGATTTTTATATAGAATTTCGGTATTTGTAGAAAATGTTGTAACTAAAATGAGCAAAGAAAAAAAAAAATTTGAGTTTATCAATTTATCGTAAATATAGATTTTTGATATATAATAAATATAAAACAAAAATATAAAAATTTAGCTTACAACTACACATTTTTTATTCGATGCATACACGATTAATTAGAATTTTTTAAATTTTAAAATATTATTCTTAAAATTTATAAAAAAAAAAAATTCTATACAATTATTACATTTTTTATTTATAATTGTCTAGCAATATTATCAATAATTCTGATTAATATTATTTAAGCTAAAAACTGAATCGACAATAACAAATTTACAATTGATTTTTCGTAATTTATTGGCAAGTTGCCTTTAAAGATACAAAATTTCATATCTCTATAAATATTGCTACAGCATACAGATTCAATAGTTATAAATTTAAAAAAAAAAAAAAAAAAAAAAAAAATGCCGATTTATTAAATCCGGAATTATTAAAATTTTTATTTAATAAATTAGATTATTGTTTATTAGTTTATCCAAGTGAAATATTTTTGCCATGAAAATGCATGATTTAACCGATATTTTAACTTTTATAACATTATATTTTCGATTTTTAATTGTTTACTATAATGCGCATAATCTTCTTATATTTTATAATTGTAATGTTTACCATCAAATGTAGAAATTTATTAATAAACATTAAATGATTTACAATAATTTTCATACATTGATTTCACATTTTGTTTCACTAAGTTGTACTTTTTTTTTTTCCTTTTCTAGACTATCGTAGATCACAGGTCTGAATACTATCAGCGGATAATTCGAGTATAATTAATTATTAAAACCATTTTAATTAAAACTTTGATGCACATGTAGACTGACTTGAATGATTTCTTTGTACATTTGGTCGGGCAACTGGTCCGTACGTCATCAGAATACCCATTAGGAGGATTACGATTACTTGTATTAGCAGGAGTATTATCACGTGCTGCTTTTCCCCGCAGATGCCGAGCTTTTCCTGAATAAATTTGCAGAAAAATATGTCATATAGTAATTTATCAAACAATACCAACTATTTCACTTATACATTCGGTATTTTAAATTCTATTAAAAACTTTTGTGCTCGTTCATTAAGAACAATCACTATTAGGAGATTTAATTTGATTTTATTATGTTATCATCAATAGATTGAAATAATAATAATAAAGCTATTTCATGATAATAATTTTATTTTAACATTATTTATCCGTCCATTACAAATATAAGAGTTTAATATTTAATGGTTATAATAGATAAGCAGTCGTAGATGATACTAATTATGCTGTTTCTCTTAATAATTAATAATCATGTTATGTATTTATTAGTTATTTCATCTAATAATTAATTATAATCTGTTAATTAGAATATTATAGTTAATATTATTGCTGATCATAATCGAGGTTACGAATATTGAGAAATATAGTAAGCCAATCGATATATTTCGATAAATTTTATGTAATATTATTTAAATGTTGATATGATATGCTAAATTCCATATATAATAGTAATACAACAAATGAACATAAAATAAATATACAATAATATTTTCACAGAAAAACTTATATAAATAAAGTATAAATGTCGGAATGAATTTTTTAGAATTATTAAAATATTTAAATAATGTACATAATTTATTCATTATATTTGTTTAATATGTCTATAATGTGTATATTATTATATAGGATTTATATTTGGTTTTTAATTAAATATTTTTTACATAGTTATAGTTTTTATTATTGGTTATAGTGTTCGAAAATAATGTAGTTTTCTTGGCTCGAACAGCCATTGCTTCAGTAGCTTATTTTTGAAGGAGTTAAGTGGAAGAAGAGAATGTAGAATTATCGTCCTTTTTAATGAATATATGATTTATTTTACAATTTATAATACAATTTTACGTTATTGATGGATGATTGGATACGTCTTAAGTTTAATTATAAAGATTGGAACGTTTCATGTAATGGATGTTTCACTAGACAAAATGCCCATTGAGATCGTGACATTGTTGTTGATATTGTTGGTATGAAGGAGATGAAGCGAAGACTTATCAACTGCTGCACAGGAGGGTTGATGTATCTTCCTTCTGGTCAGTGGGTCACTTAATAAAAACTTGGCCACTAGTTTTCACTTGGCTTCCCCACACGCGGACAGCGAAGATATTGAGACTTTGACAATGACAATGACAACGTCGTAAAGTGTGTTTTTAGCAACAGCGCCTTCAATTAGGGGTGGGGGGTGGGGTGGGGTGGAGGGAGGCTTACCCCTTTCCGAGATTTAGCGACGCGGAAGGGAGTGGGTGGGTGAGGGGGTGGGGGGGTGAGAGAGGTGTTTTTGGTAAAGCGTCTTCGCTTGGCCTATGCAAGTGTCAACGTGTCGATATACAAGTGGCAACGTGTGGATATGAAAGTGGCAACAATGTATGCGTGATTGCTTTGAGGAGACGAAGATTGGCCGATGTCGCACGAGCTGGATTTCTCGTTACAAATGAATTTTAGGAAATATTTTTTCAACTCGATTTTGTTTATATATTTCTGTCATTCTCCAAATGTTCTCGCGTCAACAGACTCGCCGCGCTCTTGCTAGCTAAAACCAACGGTCGTTTACTGTTTACACCAATGACCCTGGAAGAATTTTTTTTAAAAGTTATGACCCTTGGTATTTTTCCCAAAATAATACACCAAAAATTCCCTCAATCTCGAATATATAGTACAGTTTTTTTTATAATCTTAATTTATAAGAGTGCAATTGACTACTTAAGTTTTTTAAGGTTTTTGAATTGTAATTATCTTAATAAGCATACAATCTAGAAGAAAATGAATGATTCTAAACGAGGAATTTACATTATAAAAAAAGCTAAATAGTATTTTAATCTTTATTAACAAATTTAAATCGTATTATTTTTCTTTTAATATTTTGAATTAACTTTATACTTTTAAATGTTTTAAGTGACAACGGTAAACGCTTGCTACATTTAACACATATAAGTTTGACCTTTAAAGTAATTTATCGCAGAAATGAGGAAGAGCGAGCGAGAGAGAGAGAGAGAGAGACAGTGCGATTGGGCGGGGGCGAGGGGAGGGGGAGCGAAATAAAGTGAATGAAAGCATGTAGAATTACAAAGATGGATAAAAATGAAAGATGAAAAATCGTGTGTTAACATTAAAGTAATATATCTATTAAAGCAATATTAAGATATTAAACATATTTTTTATAACATTTAAGATGCAATGTAGAAAATTAATAAAATATGAATTATGTTATAGTACTATTGAACGAGTCAAAATCAATTTAGATATAAACAATGAAAATTCAAGTATATTTAAGGAATTTTATTTGACATCTTTCTCATAGCAATATTATGACGATTAATTTGCACGTAGATTTTAATATATATTAATATTTTATATAATTGAAAAATTTTAAATGAATCACGTGATATGTAATATGAAGTAAAACTTATATTTTTAAACCCTATTCTAGTTTGTTTTTTAACAACAACAACAACGAAATAATGTCACTACTGTTAAACTAAAATGTATTGATATGATTATTTAAATAGTTGCATTAATCATAGTAGACAATATGTGAATAAACTGTTTTAATAAAAGAAGGAAGATAAATCAAATTTATAATAAGAAACAACGATATGAAAATATTGAAAATTTGAAAAATTATTCTTTTAACGCTTTATCAATGCTTTCGAGTGACTATAAGCGAATGACAATAGCTGGAAATAATATTTCCACCAAATAAAATAGAAGAAAACTACTGGCTAAACTCTAACTCCGAAATGCACTTCAGTAAGTTCCCCAAGTACTCCTCGACTTTTCTATCTTATCAATGTATGCACATGCATGTGAGCGTCAAAACACGTTTAGGATTAGTACTTAATAGAGCCTGCACGTTTGCAATAACATTTAAAGCGACAGTGTTAGTGTTGCTATTATTTTTCCACCAACTATTAGTATGAGTACTATGCGAATGGTTAGTATGGCTGTGTGGTTTTGCTTACACTCTTAACGTCTGCGATCTATCGTTAGAGATGGTACGTGCGGTGCTTTTAGAATACATAAATGCTTTTCCCCCATATATTTTCACTATTTGAACTGAATATAACTGAAAAAAAAAAAATACAATGTATCTTAATCAACTAAGTATTAGGGTGAATGGTACATTAGTTTATTTTTTAAATCATGTAATGGTAGAGTGCGTTCGTTTTCCTTGGGGTCTTATGATTGCAGAGTCGTTTGACAAAAAGTTTCTGAATTGAGGATAATTCAAAATTCACTAAAAACTGATGATTTAATTGTAAAAAACTCGTGCCTCGATATTTTTCAACTAGTGCTTTTAGTGCTGTTAACTTCGTTAACAATTTTTATTATGTATAGTGTAAAGATTCAAGATATGACGTAAAAATAAATTAGTAGTTTTTGTGTAAGTTTTTTTTATTAAATAAAAAGCCGATGGTCAAAATCAGGAAAAAAAATTATTAAATTAATACTTAGAATTTATAAATTTTAAACTTTCAATCATATTTTATAGAATTAAAATAATATATATTTTTAATTATGATAAATAATCTTAAACGCTGTCGTTAATATTATTGTAATTATGAAAATTAATTATCTATTAGAATTATATTATCCATTCTGAAGGAAAAATGAAAATATGTTTTAAAATATACGATAATAATCATTGAACTAATAATTACGATAGTTTTAATATGTATTTAATGTTTAACTATTTTATTTTATATTTATAATTTTACGCATCCAAATACAAATGTTAAATCAAATTTATATTATTATAGAAATCAATAATGAATATAAGCGTTTTCATATTTTCCATCGTTTATAATTAATACATTTATTACTAATAAACCATGAAAATGATCGGTATAGTAAGATAAATTTTATTTAAATAATTTTCAATCATTCTTAAATACTAAATTCTGATTATCAGTATATCAATTTCTGAATTTATTTTAGAAAATCGATACATTAATTTGTCTATATTTATAGTTGTCTCAATAACAAAATTTATGTTGTTTAAATTCAGATTCATAAGCTAGATGTTTTAATGAAAAAACAAATTGATTATTTATATCTAAATCTTTGAGTTAGCTGTACGTATATCAAGCTTATTCAATTATATTTTGATTTTTATCTTTTAACTTTATATTTGTCCTGTCACATAATTTATATGAAATTGTGAAAAACTTAATATAATAATATTGAATTTAAACGAAAGTTCAAAATGTAATGAGTAAAATTCATAAATTATACATTAATTATAAGTAAAAATAATATTGTTATTATCACGTTTAAAATTATTTTTTAAACATTGGTTACTATTAATATTAACGAAGGCTTAACAATAAATGAAGAAAATCTAATTATATTTAATCAATAATACTATAATTATTTACGAAGATTAATTTATACAATATATACAATATTTATGTATTAGTACATATATTGAACAGTATTACAATATATATTTAGTATATATTATTTTACTTTTTAATGGAATAAATCTTGATAAAATGAATATCATAGAACAATTTACACAGAAAATTATAATTTTATTTGTGCTAGTATCAAGTATTAATCAATTATTTCTTGGTAATATTTTTCATATTGTATGTTCTTTATTATGTGCATGTGTGCACGTAAATACATATACGCTCAATCTTAATGCACATAAATCAATTTAAATTGACATATCAGAAACAATATTTCAATACTAATATAATATAATAAAATATTCTAAAATAAATAAATATATATATATATATATATATATATATATATATATATAGGATATAGCGGATAAGTCATAAGAAAACACTCACTAAAGATAATATTAATAATTGAATTAATTGAATAATTGAAAATAATAATAGAAAATTAAAAAAAATAAATAAATAAAAAAAAAATACTATGTTAAAAAATGAAAGATTTTTCATAGTGTTGTTTAGTT